TCTCAGAATCTTGTCTGGTTGTCATTGTAGTAAAGACAGTCTCAGAATCTTATCTGGTTGTCATTGTAGTAAAGACAGTCTCAGAATCTTGTCTGGTTGTCATTGTAGTAAAGACAGTCTCAGAATCTTGTCTGGTTGTCATTGTAGTAAAGACAGTCTCAGAATCTTGTCTGGTTGTCATTGTAGTAAAGACAGTCTCAGAATCTTGTTTTGTTGTCTTTGTAGTAAAGACAGACAGTCTCAGAATCTTGTTTTGTTGTCTTTGTAGTAAAGACAGTTGTAGAATCTTGTTGTGTTGTCAATTTTAGTATTGAAAGACAGCATCAAAACCTTAATTACCTGTCAATATATTGTAACAGACTGCCTCAAATCCCAACACAGACATACACCTCATTGTGAAAAAAATGGTTCGACAAATGCATTCGGGTAAAGTATGTCCCCCAAAACAGAGATTGGTCTGTTATTCATTTCATCTAAACAAGGAAACTTGTTTAAAATCACATCAACACTGTGATAATGTCATTACATGAGTTGTAATAAGATATAAACACTGATACTTTGTATTATAGGCACCACTTGTCTTTAGTATCTGACTGCTACATGTTAGTCATCTTACAAACTTTACATCCCTTGATGTACAAACTGAAGTCGTATAATTAGGAAAATAAAAGTTCAAGAAACGATGTATAATTGTTTACATACCATGTTTTGTTTATAAACAACATCTGAATCCTATATATATGTAGTGTCTATTATTTAATTCATACACATTAAGTCTTGTGAACTTCAGGTTTTTCTGACACTTAAAAGAACACTAATTATTGTAGACGTTGCACATAATTTTGCATATTTAACCCAAATTTGCCTACAACACACTTGGAAACATAATTAGATCTACAGACAATAGACAGTAACAGCTCATACTGAAACAATAACATTACACTTGTACATGTAAAGTTGAAACTCCCCATCTTAAAATAATTTGATTATGTTTCTAAGATCCCAATATATTATTGTTTTTTTAATCTGAAACTAGTATATCAGTGATCAGGAACTCAATCAGAGACAAATCGTGTAATGGGTCAACTGATACAAAACCTTAGCAAAAAGAGATAACACACAAAATTTGGCAGTATATATTGGTTTGTATCCGATAAGACACTACTAGACATCTATATCAATCAATCACAGCAAATACATGTGTGATTATACAAGTTGTACCACGAAACAGAATGCTGAGGTAAATAAACACAAGAGTAAATAGGTTTTACATGCTCACCTCCAGGAAAACATGCCAAATCACTGTCTTTTTTATGAGTCCCAAGGATAAAAAGCAGGCAAAACAGCAGAATTTCAAATTGCAATGTACATCTAAGTAATGATATATCTTTCATTGAACCAGGTTGTAGAAGGTGTTTGTAACTTTGTCACAAAAATTAAGTCACAAGGACCATGACACAACTAAAAAAAACGACTAAATTGCAAAGTACACTGTCTGTTTGCATATCCTAATGTATTATAGCTAGTCTTCCACATATGTAGACACAGTGCAAAATTACAAAAAATATCCAACCAGCAGTTTAGGAGGAGCTGAGCTCCATAGTGATACATGTACCAAGTCCGTAGTGATACATGTACCAAGTCCGTAATGATACATGTACCAAGTCCGTAGTGATACATGTACCAAGTCCGTAGTGATACATGTACCAAGTCTGTAGTGATACATGTACCAAGTCTGTAGTGATACATGTACCAAGTCTGTAGTGATATACATGTACTAAGTCTGTAGTGATATACATGTACCAAGTCCATAGTGATACATGTACCAAGTCCGTAGTGATACGTCATTATTATTACATATTATCAATTTATTGTAGTTGTTCATTAATAAATTGTCAAATCCTTTTGTGTCAGTTTTGAGTACCGAATAATCCCAACACTCAATGATGGCAGCCTCACAGAATCTTCGATTTTTCCATGAAAGAAAACCATGAAAACCCTATTGCTATGTAATGTGTACACCTCTCACTTTGGATATTTTTTTTTCTCAAAAAAACCTGTGCATGTTATGTGAGTTTTTATGGTAGATGAAACAGTGACTGTGACATGATCTGAAATTTAGGATACCATTTACATACAGCCTAGAATTCCAATGTATAATTACAATACAAACACTCAGTAGTAGTTGTTTACTGGCATAAACAAAGAGAAAATCATATGATCACACAAATAAGTTAATAATGTAGCTATATACTGTACATATGGTGTTGCAGTAAACAAGATTTATTAACTTCTAGGAGAGAACATGTAACACTTTTTTAACATGACTATATTTATATATGTGTATATATAAAGACGACTGCCAACAAAAGAACATGTTGTGGGTATGTACCTCTCTTTATTAGATTTCCTCTTTGTAAGTCAGATCCAGATGGTTAATTGCATTCAGAATACATAATGCACTTTAACAACCATTTTGCAATCATAAAATAGGGAAGCATAATAAGCTTGCTTAGCTAACTACCACCGGCTGTTGGGAATTCCCCTATATGCTTAGAGCATTCGTAATCATTTATAATAGAGCATAATTTCAATGAAATAATAACTTGTTCCAATGATACCATCACATACACTGTATTATTGATAAATTCTCAAATTTCTAAGTTTTAGAAAATACTGAAAAAAATTTCATTCAGATGTATATATTTCGATTGTTTGCAGGCAGTCGTTTCTATATATGGGTATTTTCCTTTATCGAAACATTCATTGGGAGAATATTTCATCTTGTCCTTTCTTCTTATTAAAATGTTGATTCATTAAATGTTTTCTAATTTAGCTCTTCATTAGCCTCTTTGTACTAAAGATCAAGATAACTGCAAATGTCTCATAAAATTCTAGTCTCTGTTGATTATTATATTTCAGAATAAATAATGTGTATGCATTTTTCACTACACAAAAAAATGACCAGAATCAGTCACTAGAATATATAATGACTGCCAGTTGCCAAGCAAACTGGTCATTAATAATATAATAATTAACAGACACAACTGAATATCAAAATTTACCAGCCATCAAACCAAACTGACAATTCGCAATATTCACCAGATGGTGACCAATACCAGAATGGTGTTTAATATATAAATTCTCAGTAAGGATTTTTTTTCAGTCTAAAGCAAAGGTGCAAATGTAGGTTTACCAGGGCATATAAAATCAGGGGAAGCAACTTGTTCTAACAATAGACACATGCCAAGTTTATGGTTTTATTTTTTATTTGATGATTTTCAATGTGTCGCTAGATTCATGAAAAATTAGAAGTACACAAAAATTACATTTGTACCTTTACACAATGTGCCTATTTCTTAGTTACATATTTGTATGGTCATGTAGCATTGAGGACAGGGCCCTGTACTGTACTTGGTAATATCATTTAGTGGCTACATTTATTAGATGACGGATTATATCCAACAGCTTTATAATATGTATTCTATCTAGATAATATAGTACAGTGTATAACAATAATGTTGTAATAATTGTTGTCTTGATGGACTCATTATGAAATCTTAAACCTACCACTAAATGGTTTTTTTATAGAAATCTTAATAAACTAATAATAAATGATAATAATAATAAATAATTTTACCTAAAACTTCAACAAACAAAATAATCACAAACAAAAAGACCATATTGAACACACTGCATTACCAAGCTTGCCACTGGTGGATGAAAAGGATCAGTCAGCAAAATAATTCCATGCGCCTTCATAAATGTCACACCAGTCATGGATTTTCTCAACCCAATATGGTATTTGAAAGATGTTTCATAGAGCTTGCAAAGAGTACGTAAAATTCTAATTTCAAAGTAAAATTTTACAATGATTTTCCTATCTTTTTGAAGGAAATAAAAATGCTCCCCTCTTTTTTTTTTTTGGACTTCCATATATTTGAGTTTTGGTCTCATACTTTAACATGTCCATATAGAGCTCACCAAGATTTTGAAAACCCAGTATATTTCAATGTTATGAAACTTACCGTAATATTGGGAAATTTTATTCTGTAATTGCCTCGGAAAATCCCACAAAAATTCTATTGATGTGTTCCAGTAAAATTCTAATTTCAAAGTAAGATTTTACAATGATTTTCCTATCTTTTTGAAGGAAATAAAAATGCTCCCCTCTTTTTTTTTTTTTTTTTTGGACTTCCATATATTTGAGTTTTGGTCTCATACTTTAACATGTCCGTATAGAGCTCACCCAGATTTTGAAAACCCAGTATATTTCTATGTTATGAAACTTACCATAATATTGGGAAATTTTATTCTGTATTTGCCTCGGAAAATCCCACAAAAATTCTATTGATGTGTTCCAGTCAGTAAAATATGCTGAATTTCAAAAGTTTGTTGTTTTATTTAGGATGCATAGCACTCAGTTGTAAATTACAGAGAAGTCTCTCAAATAGAAAAGTCTGAAAACAACTTCTGAATAATAAATACTTATACAATGAATGTATATACATTCTCTCCTAGAACAAACATTGACCTCTGTGCCCTCTGATCTTACATCAAACCCCTCAACCACAACTTTCAAACCCTCAGTCCACACTCTCTTTTAAACATCTGTCTTTCTACCATTAGTGCTCTCTCACTCAAAACTTGATATGATCTCCAATTTGGTGGAAGAGGTCAATATTTTGAAGATGTCAACACTAAAATAATTGATTCCTTCAACCAGCGGATCACATATTCCTGTATGTGAGAAAAATAAATGCGTTTATTTGAGACTTTTCCTAGGCTGTTATCCAGTCATTGGCACTTATATTATCATAGTTTTCAAAACAGGTCATGAACAAGTACATGGAACGATGAGAACCGGCATCCCAGACCATAAAATGTACCACACCCCCTTCCATGTGTCTGGAGTGTTTCATTATAATCAACAAAACAGATGACATGTATAAAAAAATCGACAATTCTCATGCATCCAACTTGTTAATATATTCAAATACCTGCATGAGATGATCCTGGCTCAGACCTGAAGACAAGAACAAGTCGGAAGCCCGAACACCAGTGATTCTCCCTGTACCATCAACATCACAGGTCTGAAACAGTTCACCATAGCAAATTTGTTCTTGCTGACTAAGCGTCAATCCTTCCATTTTCATACAAGCTTTATCGTTCTCTCAAATTCTTTTATCTTCAGCAGTAAAATCCAGCGCCATTAAAACGCATGACAATTGTCCAAAAGTCCTTTTCGACGGATATGTCTTCTTATGTCCAAGATACTCTTCCCTTGGCAGCCATTTTAATTTTCGATTTCCTATTGAAGTGATGTACCACATATGAATTATCTAATATCTAACTAGCAACCATTATTAAACCATATACGCATATTTCCAAGCACACTAATACTTTTTACATATAAGATATAAATATTGTTTGCAAAAAATGAAGATGTATATTTATTTTAATAAATTTGAAATTGATAATATCTCGATGATTATCGCATCAAAATATAATGTAAGAGAATAAAATATTATATTATATATGGTATTAATGAAACTAAAATTAAAGTAATATTTGAACATACAAATAAAATAATATAACTGTCCAGATATTTATTTTCGATTATTCCAGTCCGCACTTCGAAAAAATTTGGCGCGAGACGTCGAGCACTTGCGCATGTGTCTTTGTCGGTCCACGGAAAAGAAAGGAAATTTTGAAAGATGACAGACAAGGATCCTGGCGGTAAGGCAATAAGTGCCCATGATATAAGTATATTTTAACTTTAATAATGAATATTGAAAATTCCAAACATAAATTAAAGCATTGACACAAAAAGTTTCCTGACAATGATAAAATTAGTTAGCATTGGGATAGCACCGATCGGCGGTGTACACAACCGGCTTTTCGCGTCATGTTTTCTGATACTGTCTAGAACTAGCACATATACATAGTAAAATGCTAGCGCGTTGGCCAAATGAGAATTTTTGTACATGACAAAAATTCGTTTGATATGATAATTTGATCACATATAAATATAGATTGGCAGCTGGTGGTTTGTGTTTTTGGTCAAAGGAAAAAGCAGGGGGGGGGGGGGGGAGGGGTACAGCATTGAGCTTGCAATCGAGTCCAGAAAAGCTTGTTACGTCAGCGACAGACTTACTGAAAAATGTATTCAACGCTCACCTCATATGACATTTACCTGTGTCAAAAACATGACAGTGTTAAATATGTGCTTCATGCGCTTGGTTCTGTCGCATGCTCCCCAGTATCTGTAATGTAAGAAACTCTAGTAAAATCCAATCCACAATGCATCATCAAGAGAAGTTAAACTATCAACTTTTCAATGCTGAAAAAACACAAAATTTGATATTCTCACCATTTGCACAATTTAAAAGACAAATTTATCCTTAAAACAAGTTTGACTAATATTTGTGGACAGTAACAATACAATCACATGTTTCATCAACTTTCACAATGAATTGGCACTGTTTCTTCACTCAGCTTTCTTAATTGGGTCAGCCTAGTCTGTAAGACATCAGTATGCAGTTTCTATACATGAAGGAGCTAGATAGTATGTTAACTTTTTGGAACTCAGATTATAACTTACAGAGGGATCTATATTTGAACTGAGTGATGTACTTTTAACAGAGACTGGATTGTCAGATTTTCTTATTTTCACGAGTATGATTATGTATAATTTGAATTGGTTTAACATTACATATTTAGTTTTGTTTGGAACCTACAAAGGTTTTTTTTATGCCCTGATGTAATTTTCTATATCTGAAATAGAGCCAACATCGTTGTTACTATAAGTGGTGAATAAAAAGGTCCTTTGCCTGGATACCAGAGGGTATGCAGGGGATTGGATAGTAAGAGTAAGCTTAATTCAGACAAATAATATACCAAGGAGCAGTTAGAGAGAGCAGAATTTAGGATATGGCCAGCAAGGAGTGTCATCACTGACAGCCCCAACAAGTTAAGACCAGTATTAGATAAAACTATGGCATTCTTATAATAGGGCCTAGCATTAAGTGATGATTCTAATAGCACAGCCTCAACCTTGAACTCTTTGGAGGGAGAGATTTGTGGATTACCGTAGATTGAATTACCATTCTGAATCATCTTTGACCTTGTGTTTAGATAAACATTAACTGTGTAATTTTCATTTAGTGAATAAATCAACATTATAACTGAAGGATTTTATATTATTATCAGAAAAGATATAACTCAGAACAATAGGCATTGACCTTAGATTAATTGTTCAGGTGTTTATTGTACATCGCAGGTATTGATTGAAATCTGCTGGCATTTTTTTCTTAAACTTCTGGTATTAATTTTGATGGTAATGTTTTTCTGAAGAAGCCTGACAGTAAGGGGGAAACCGGTAGACAGACTACCTATTGAAATATTGAAGAACACGCCTCTTGTCTGTTCAGATTTCTTTTGCCTGATTCAAATATCAATTTTTATACTCTCTTTTCTTGATTCTGTAATTGCAAAGGTACAATAACTTAATAAGATATACAGATTTACCCCAAATTTGAGATACATTGGAAACATTCAAATTAAGAGCATTGCAATTTCTTTTCAGAGGGTTTTGATGATGCGGTTGAGGAGAGGGTCATCAATGAAGAATACAAAATATGGAAGAAAAACACTCCCTTTTTGTATGACCTTGTTATGACCCATGCATTGGAATGGCCAAGTTTAACAGCACAGTGGTTGCCAGATGTCACACGGTATAATAAAATCCAGAATATATAGAGTCTTATCCACATACACATAGAGTATTGTATTTCTATTACAATAAGTAATTGTTTAAAGTATATAAGTAGTAAAAAGATATATGATTTGTTGGATAAGTATTTAAATTAGCTATACCAATATTCTAAGTAAATATTGCAAATATCTCTTAAAATATTGTGGGTTTTTTTTTTTTTTCCTGCTAGGGAAAGCCAGTTCATGAAATTTTGAAATTTTGATTGTTTATTTCAGACCAGAAGGAAAGGACTATTCTCTTCACAGACTTATTTTAGGAACACACACGTAAGTGTAATAAGAAATTTTTCTATAGCCTAAAATGTTTATTTTGATGTAGGATTTTTGCATATTATTGAGATTTAAATCTGATGGTTAACTTCCTCAACCATTATAGCTATGGAGTAAGCTATACATTTCTAACACCCTGGAATATAATCTATATCAATGGTCTTTTTCACCTCTAGATTCAAGCTTTTTCTTCTAGCCCCACATTTTGAAAGCACAATATCTTCTCAGTAGAATTTCTCAACATTTTCGAAATTCTGTTCAAGGCTCTCTGAAAGAAAGCCTTAAAAACGCTGACTATATATGCAAATAATAACAGTTGCTTCTAGTTATAGTAGCTTGCTTAAGCTTGGTTGCTTGAAATGAAGTAATTGAGGGTTTTACAGGATTGAAGAGCTCAAAAGAAGATTCTGAAAAGCCCCACCTTTTTAGGTTCAGTAATTCAGGCTGAAAATGAAATACTGTTTGTTTCACCTTTATGCCTGACTCATTAAAAATGCAGTAACTCTAAATATTTTTCACTTTTTTAGCAATATATATTTTTTGGGGGAGGTGGGGGTTTTGTCTTGGTTTTTGCTCTGTTTATTTATGTTTTCATTTTTTAACTGGACATGGCTCAAAATGGCGGAGTGTAAAAATTCTGTCAGGTATCGGAAATATACATGTTTCCACTTCGTCCCTGTTGTGTGGGGATAAGTCTTCAAACATTATCACTAAGTAACATCGCAGGAAGACATTTTAGATGAATTTATCTGCTTGTCGTTTGATTGTTTTGGTGATAAAAATGAAGCTTAGACACCTCACAAAATCTTAACAGGCAGCATGCTTGGTATCTTGAATAATACATTATACAACAACACACATATCATCATGTACAGTTGGCTTTTGACTTCAGTATATAATCCAGTTATGATATGAATAAATGCTGTCCACACTATAGCACGGTCATAGAACGCCAGCTCATAATCAAGGGAAGTGGGTGTGCATTTTGACTTGTTTTTCCTACTTTTTGTTTTCTTAATTACACAAATCAATGACCAAAAATGCACAAATTAGCTTTGTAGAACAAACAAGATAATGTCTTTGTTTTTATTTTATTCAAAAGTTAAAACTTGACTGAAGTGTTAAATGATATTTTTTCCTTGACTCAAAATGCTGATATCAAGCCTTCAAAAGAAATCAAGCTACAGGACTGAAAATTGCATGATAAGTGTAATTTATCAAACAACTTTAAATACTATGGTATACATCCAAGGGTTAAACAGAATAAAACAAATGATGATTTCTGTGTTTTTCTGTTTTAACCCAAGAAATAACGGAGTAAATTTCCATTATTGTTTTACAATAAACTATTAACATTCAGTTGTTTTAATCAGATATTAAATGCACACGAAGACATGTTCTACATTAGAGCACTGCAAAAAGTTACATTGTCTTACCTACTTACCTAACACTTGGTAGCTAGTGTCAGTATAGGGGAAACAAACATATTTTCAATGTTGGCCTCATAGCAAACTTGTAAAGAAAAATTTATTGGAAAAAAGTTATTTCAGAAAACAAAAACAAAAAAGACTGAAAAAAAATATAGTCAAAAAATCTTGTAAAATTATTAATGTTCTCAGCTATTTCTAAGATTCACTAAAATATAAAAATGATAAATAGCCATTGAACCTCTATTTTGTTTTTGTTGAGTTTCTTGTCTGTTTTAACCTCAATACACACAAAATGTATTTCCATGCTTACTTTTTGCCTTGAAATGGTTTGAGGTATGTAATGCTTATCTTTCTTGTCCTACTATATATGGCTAGATCTACATACAGATCAATCTTGATAAAAAATGATGATGACTTTTATTTCTACACCTGATATATTGACGGTCATGAAAGTTGTTCTTTCTACTTGGATAGTGATGAAGAAAAATCTAGCCTAAACTATTAAGCAGTTTTTATTTGATCATATTCCAAAGAGAGGACTTTATATTAAAAAAGGAAAGAAAAAACAAACTCCTTGGACTTGAAAAAGAAAGAATATAAAAAACAATGATGGTTTATTGATAACTTGTAAGATTAATTTGTAAAATGGTGTTAATTAAATACAAAAGAAGATGCTGAGCAGTGTATGTTGCTGTGTAATTTTCTACAAATCCTGTGCTAAATGTGGTTTAGGGAACATAACTCATACTCTGCAGAACTAACAGGAAACCTGTTTTGAAAAAAATATTTCCATGGTTTAAGTTATTTTGAAAATTTTGCTGGTTCAGTTTTTGCACTATTTGTGTGCTGATATATGAAGTTTTACGTAATAGGCTATACTTGAATATTAGTGCCATTTTTAAAATGGACTATAATCTCCACATATTTCTCTTATTAGCAGGTGACACATTTCTAGCTGCATTTTCTATTGTTTTATCACGTTTCACTGCATTAATGTTTCGGTAAAATGTTCTTGCATGTACTTGACTACTAGTAATTGAATATAGTCGCACATGGATACTTTCTGCTGTAAAGGTTTCCAACACTTCCTCAAAATAAAAAGTTGGATCTTTGAGGGATTTATATAGATGGCCTGTAGCTCTGCAAGTAACTGATGTTTTTTTCTGATTTAGGAAGATTGCCACCATTTTCTGGATGACAGTTTTTTTATAGGCGTATGTCAGTGTTCCTGCCAGTGTCAAGTTAATTAAATATTAGATGTTTCTTCCCGCCGATGTAGTACCTTAATAAGTATCATTAACAATTGAAGGGGTAGTTTGGGGGACTTAAATAATGGGATATGTAACAGTTAATACTTGTCTTACCTGATTTGGATGTCTCTCAGAATCAGTATGTAAATGGAACATAAAATCTGGCGATGCAGCAAATGTTATCTATGTTGGACTAAATTTTCACTTGAACCATGCGAAAGTTTTACAAAAGGTTTCATCATTGGAATATATTTTGGTCAAGGTTTTGAAGAAAATACAGCTTTTCTGGGGGAAAATTTACTTGTTGGTGGGTGCAACAAAAGTGTACATGATTTCTGCGCCAAAGCTTACTTACTACTAGTGTAACAGCAGATCTTTGTAGTAGATGTAATCTTTAATTACTCATCAATGTCTATCTGTTGACCTGCAATTTTTTTTATGAATATTGTACTTCCAAATTTCTATTATACTGTCTAATTCCTTTAGTTGGATTTTTTCAGCAGGAGTGTGCAATTTTGTTTTGTATATAAAGTAAATTTAAAAAATAATCCATCTTAAAACACAAATCTTGGAGAAGAAAATGACTGATATACTATCAAAATGTTCACTTTCATTTTTGTATTTAAAAAGAAGATACAATCAAAATTTACTTTCAAAGTCAATTGATGATGCCAAAATCCTTACAAGTCCTGGGAATGGCACTTGTAGAATTGTACACCCTTGTTAAACTGTCAGTATTTTATCTGGATTGAATATATGCAATTAAAACCCTATTAAGATTTATCATTGTAAAAAGGATGCATTTTAACTGTAAGTCTGCTGCTAATGATCAGGTTGTGTCAATGACACTGGCCCTCATTATTACTGTCAATGTTAATTTTAAGAGGACAAATGGTCAAAATATTTCATAATTCAACATGAGGGCCATTCTGTACAATCCATGCAGCAGGCTATGGGTTAAAAGCTGTAAGATATACCCTGTTTATTTGTTTAATTTTTTTTAAGATTCTGATTGTCATGTGTGTATTTTAATCATTCTTTTTTTCTTTTCTTCCCTTTCAAAGGACAAGGTATGTTAATGGATACATTTGAGAAAATAACAAGATTTGACAGATGCATACATTGATGAGATGAACACAGATCAAATCCCAAAATGAAGAAAAGAAAGTATTCCATCTTGTGTATGCTGACATGGTGAAAATGATAGACTGTATAAACAGTAAAATAGAAGAGAAAAAAATAAAAAAAACCCAGAAATATCCTGATACATTTCAAGGCATTGAATTTAATGCAATCGAAGCACGACCAAATGAGACCAGACTTTATTCTTCACATTCACAATGTAAAAGAAAGAAAGAAAAAAAACCTTCAGAATAGTTATACATTGTATATGATATATAAAGACCAATTCTGTAGCTCTGCTCCTGTAATCATCATGGCCGCATTTGCTTTGGGTGAGGACTGGAGCAACTAATTGCATGTTTTCTCCTCAAGCTTTATATATTTATATATATATATCCTTTAGCAAGAAACTGATAATTGTTAGGTATCATAGATTTTATCTTATAATCAATGTTCACTGGAAAAATGGCAGAATTCAAAAATAGATATACAGTCGTCTCAGAAATATCCCTCACCACAAAAAACATGTATGCATCTTCAAAAAAATAAATCCAGAAGTTTGCTTTTCTCCAAATGTTTTCTGAGACAAATGCCTTGGCCCTTTGATTTCTTTCAGCTCAGATGAACAAAACCATCTCCTGATTGCAAGTGTTCAGCTCCCTAACGATAATGCCCAATTTGATGCCTCACATTATGATAGTGAAAAAGGAGGTAAGGTCTTGGAAGTTTAGAAAAAAAGAATTTTCCAACTTGGAAATTTTAGAAAGTTTGTGTTGTGCAGACTATTTAGTGTTTTTAAGCAGTTAATTGGTTGATTACCATGTTCATTCGTCCACTGTTTCTCCTTACATATATGTATTGATGTAGTCCATCATGCATTAGATAGAAAAATTGTTATTTTACTCACATGTTGATATTGGCATATCACTGATGCGTAGAATCCACTGGCCTGAGTGGCGATGTCACTCCTTACAAATAGTGAAATCAATGAATCAGTGATGTTAGTGTCCTGTAGCAGGAGGCATATTGTCAAACGTCTAATAAATTGACTGAGATGTTGCTTTTAGGTTGTTGTAGGTTGGTAGTTACACATCTAATATTTTGTTGGTACACATTTTTATTGGACTTGGGCATTGTTAACATGGGTGAAAGAAGTATTTGTCTTTAATGTAATTGCATACTGGAATTTCAACTTTACAAACCATAGGAAATTTATGTGAGAGACGGGAAACGTAAATTTCAATTTCTTTCCAACCATTTTCTTTCAGAGTTTGGAGGTTTTGGTTCTGTTAGTGGAAAGATTGAGATAGAAATCAAAATAAACCATGAAGGAGAGGTGAATCGAGCAAGATATATGCCACAAAATCCTTGTGTCCTTGCCACGAAAACACCATCAAGTGATGTTTTGGTGTTTGACTACACAAAGCATCCATCCAAACCAGGTATTTTTTTTAACATTTAAAAAAAAGTTTAGTGAGGTACAGTAATCAAACAATATAATAAAATACAAAAAACTTCTCTTTATCAAACTTGTAATATTTTAAGAAAGGGGTCAGTGAAATATTTTAATGTTTATATATTATGGTATGTTTGAAGTCCATGCAGTTGATTAATAAACACAGATGAGATATTAGGTCATTAGATTTTTACTTTTTCGTTGAGTTCTTAATCATTAGAAACGCCTTCATGACAAATTTGTTTTTAATAAATCAGTCTTTAACCTTTCATTAGTTATAATTATCAGATATATATGTAACTTCTAAGTCTTTTTGTTACATTTATTACTCATTTTCAGATATGATAGCCAATATTTTACAATGTATTTCATTTCTCAGATCCAAGTGGAGAATGTACTCCTGAACTGCGTCTTAAAGGTCACCAAAAAGAAGGGTAAGTAATTGTTTCATGTGAATCATTTACTATGTATATGAAGATAGATTAACATTATATTGCTTGTGAAGGAAAATCAAAACAGATTCATCAAGGTAAGAAAGTTTGAAAGTTCTGATGGAATTGTTTTTGCTCATTTGATTTTTTTCTTAATTTCAGATATGGATTATCCTGGAACCCAAATCTGAATGGCCACTTGTTGAGTGCTTCTGATGATCATGTATGTAAAAAGAATGAAAGACTGTATAATAATAATGGTTAGAATGTTAAGGCATGGACTGTCACTTAAGTCAGTAATTGGTTCAGATTTAAGTAAGACAAATACGACTGATTTATCAATAACAAGACAAATGTGACTTATTTGTCAATAACAAATGTGACTGATTTATCAATAACAAGACAAATGTGACTGATTTGTCAATAACAAATGACTGATTTATCAATAACAAGACAAATGTGACTGATTTGTCAATAACAAATGTGACTGATTTATCAATAACAAGACAAATGTGACTGATTTGTCAATAACAAATGACTGATTTATCAATAAGAGGACATATTTCTATATTTAGTCACTTTGTTTTCTATATGTAAATGTATTTAGTTTATGTTCTGTTCTGAAAAGATTTTCCGCTATTTTCATATTTTTGGTACTAATTGTACGTTTTATATATTTGTAGACAATATGTCTTTGGGATATCAATACCACACCAAAAGAGGGCAGAGTCATAGATGCTCACACCATTTTTACAGGCCACACATCTGTTGTAGAGGTGAGAATTACATGCTGTATGTTGTGGATTTTGTTATTGAACTGCTTCATTACTGTAGGGGAGGTGCGTGGGGCTGTTTGGTGACAGATGAATTGGGTCTTTTGAGGGTGGTTGGGATAACACTGAAATGCATTTTTATGTTAGATTCTTTCTATTAGAAATTAAATTTTATAGGTGACTGGTTAAACAGGAACCTCTGAAAATTAAATGTTATACAACTCTACACCAAGTATATCGTGAAAGTTGATTGAAAGATATCGGATAATCTTAGTTGATGTGAACATTCTGTGACATCCAAAGTTTTCCTGTACAGCCAAGTAAAGTGAGAAACACTACCTTTGTTTTACACTTACTAAGTATTTTCTTCTTACAGGATGTGGCATGGCATTTACTCCATGAAAGTTTATTTGGTTCTGTTGCTGATGACCAGAAATTGATGATGTAAGTGAGGCTACCCTATAACTATTACTTCTGTATATTTGAAAATTCTGGAAAAAAACCAATGTGTTCTGAAGTTTTGAAGCAGCTTCATCACATTTGGCCTTCATTTTTATGTTCCCAGAAGGGAGAGCATATAGTTGCCACTTTGTTCGTCCGTTCCTTTGTTTGTGCACCTTTCATGATTTTGTGCAGAGAGTTACACAAAAATTCTATAAGGTATAAACATTAAAGTTAAGTGATTATTTAATCTACTGCTTGTTCAGTATTTATAGAAAGTACATTCTCCATTGCAGTAATATTTTCTTCGGTTTCTTTGTAACTAAATACCTCGCTTAACTAGAATTTGCATAGGTATCATTCCAATGCATTATATAAATTTTGTCTCTTGCTAGATAACATGAAAGTATTGGGTACCTGTGAGTGATAATGAAAAATTAAATCAATCTTCGCATCAGCTTAGGTGAAATGATTTGACAATTGATTATATCAAGGAGAAAACTTTTCTTTTGACAGCTGGGATACACGATCAAATGACACTACAAAACCCAGTCACACAGTGGATGCCCATACAGCTGAGGTCAACTGTCTGTCTTTTAACCCCTACAGTGAATTTATATTGGCCACTGGGTCAGCAGACAAGGTGTGTAACTCATTGAGGGTTATTGCCCCCAGACATCTCCGAACAATGTTCTTTTTATCCTTAGTGTACATGCATTAGCTATATTCAGTGTTACATGGTGGCTATTTGTTGTCATGGTTCCCATAGTTTTCTTTCCATTCATCATATTCATATTCCACATACTCAAGAGTGTTTAGTTTTAGTGGAGAAAACATTATTCAGTCTCAAAAAAAAAATTTAAAATAGAAACCAGTTTATACAGTAATGAAAGCACTCAGGAAACATGATGTTTCATACACTGAAGTCTTTTCACACAACATTCTGCTTTGTTTCTTAATTTGACTGGGCCACATACTGGTATATTGTTGTAAAAACAATCTCCACTTCTTAGTACCATCATTTGCCAAGAGTGTATTTTTTATATTGTCTGTTTCTGTGATGTCAAATTATGCAATAACTTTTTTTTTTTTTCTCTCAAGATTTTACAAAGGTATGCAACACACGATATATACTAGACTCACATACACATACACACCCTGGCACACATCACACTACACCCATGTACACTCACTCAAAACATGCACTCATTATTTCCTACTCTTTCCTCTTTGCTGACATGACATACAATGTACTACTGTGTTTCATTCACAAGCCCCAATAATAATACAAACTCAATGACTGCTGTCATCATCATCATCATCATCATCATCATCGTCATCATCGTCATCATCATCATCATCATCATCATTTTGCAAATATTTTGCAATAACTTAACATTTTCTTTCAGACTGTTGCTCTGTGGGATCTCCGAAATCTTAAACTGAAATTACATTCATTTGAGTCACACAAAGATGAAATCTTCCAGGTAAGGGCAGTGAATATCTTTCATTGTTTTGTTGTTTTATTAAAACATTATGTCTGTCCAGAATGTGGTCAACATTCTGAAGGGCATGAAAGGCCAGTCTATAGAGCATATAACTTCACATCCTTGGGTGAAGTTCTAAGTGTGGTTCAGTTATCTCAACCTGATGTAGTGCATTTTTTTTCTGAGAGTCCATAGATTCTTCTACACTGCTATTGTTGTGTGCATAGGCAAGACATTTTATCCCATTTGTTGGGGATTGCATGTGATGAACCTCCAATATAGGTTCAGTGAGTTATCTGCTGTGATAAGACTGTCAAAATGACCCAGTCTATTCACAGGTTGATAAAAAGCAGTTAAAAGGCATTGTTTTATATGGTGAGTGTCCTTTTTGTTGATCATAAACAATTATACCTTGTATGTCTTGTGTTTTAAGGTCCAATGGTCACCCCATAATGAAACCATTCTGGCTTCCAGTGGAACAGACAGAAGACTACATGTCTGGGATTTGAGGTATTCTAAATATCCTTTATTGATTACTGTAGTAACTTCAGAAATATTTTGTCATTCAAGTATCACATTTAACATTTGTTTTTAAACAAAACTGAACATATCAAAGAACAGAATTGAAAAATGCCATTCCATTTAGATAATGTATCATGATTCTTTATTCTAAAAAGAATGAAACTCCTCTGGCATACAGCATACAGAATAATTCTTCTATTAGTGAATTTCATGACTTGTTCCTCAGGATTTTGAAAGAAGACTGTTCTATGTAGAAAATTCACTTAGAGAAATATTCCTTTTCTTGACTAAGCTAAAGAAATATATCACTGATTACAATATTTGTTTGAATATTGAATGACTTATGTATGTATGGGTGTTGCTATAAACTGTCCTACTGATAACATTCTTTACTTGCAGTAAAATAGGAGAGGAGCAATCAGCAGAGGATGCTGAAGACGGACCTCCAGAATTACTGGTGCGTGAAACTTTGTGTCAATAATTTTAATTTGTAGCTTTGATATCTTCTTTTAAAGACTTTGTAGCATTTATCTCTACTCTTAACAGATTAAAGTGATAATTGATAATTTGGAACTTTAAGTCCTAGAAGTATCAATTTTTGTAATAGATATTCAAGTACAAAATTATACTCCTACTAAGGTAATGGGGATGTGGGTATATGAAAGTCTGTGTCCATACACAAGTACACAAGTCCATGATAACATTGTGTGCAAGGAATCTCATGAACCCCTGAACACAGTAAATTGTAGTAGTCTTCAATCAAGGTTACATGTCAAAAGTCACTGTTCACCACTGAGGAAATAACAAGATTGTGTACAAGATATCTCGTGAACCTCTGAACAGTTCAGATTCACAACAGTATCACAGCACTAACGTCTGCCTCTGGGTAGATTTTATTGTGTACAAGATATCTCGTGAACCTCTGAACAGTTCAGATTCACAACAGTATCACAGCACTAACGTCTGCCTCTGGATAGAATTTATTGTGTACAAGATATCTCGTAAACCTCTGAACAGTTCAGATTCACAACAGTATCACAGCACTAACGTCTGCCTCTGGGTAGATTTTATTGTGTACAAGATATCTCGTAAACCTCTGAACAGTTCAGATTCACAACAGTATCACAGCACTAACGTCTGCCTCTGGATAGAATTTATTGTGTACAAGATATCTCGTAAACCTCTGAACAGTTCAGATTCACAACAGTATCACAGCACTAACGTCTGCCTCTGGGTAGATTTTATTGTGTACAAGATATCTCGTGAACCTCTGAACAGTTCAGATTCACAACAGTATCACAGCACTAACGTCTGCCTCTGGATAGAATTTATTGGCCATTGATAAAGGTTAAACTACAAAGGTCACCTTTGACCATTACGCAATAAAAACATTCTATACAAATTATTTTCTGAACCCTTGAACAGTTTTACTTCCAATTCACTCCATAGTTTCACCCTACCAAGGTCTACACCTTGATTAGATTTCAATGGTCATCTTTGAAGGTCACCCTATACCACTTTTGAAATAAAAAGCTTGTGTACAAGGTATTTCATGAATCACTGGACAGATTTCATACCCACAACATACTGTCACTCCACCAAGATCTACATCTAGTTAGATTTTGGTCTTTACGGTCAAGGTCAAATACACCCTGGACATTTCTCAAATAAAGACCTTGTTGATAAGATATCCCGATAACCCCTTGATAGTTTGACTTCTGTTATAGCATACATTCATTGCTTCACCCTTTCAAGGTCTAGACCTGAATTAGATTTTAATCTTCTTCAGTCAAGGTCAAAATTCACCCATGACTGTAATGGAAAAACCTTGTGTTCATGAAGTATTTAATAGGTGGGGGGATGGGGAGTATATCTATGTTAATCTCTGCTTACTTTGTATAGGCAACAAAATTTTGTATCATGATTTGTGTTTATCTTTGTCAGTTCATTCATGGAGGACACACAGCTAAAATATCAGACTTTTCATGGAATCCCAATGAACCCTGGGTAATTTGCTCAGTGTCCGAAGACAACATCATGCAAGTATGGCAAATGGTAAGTTGAAGAATAAAGTTGATTGACATTAAAAAAAAGTAAATCGTTTCTTGATAATGTCTCCTCTTCAAACAAAGGAGACTGATTGTATTATTATCATTATTGGTTCTTCTTAAAATTTCCTGTGTGGGCCAAACTTTTAAACTGTTCAATATATGTTGACAAACTTTTAAACTGTTCTACTTGTATCATCCAAACCAATGTGCAGTGCAATGCTGTGAGGTCTCTGATGTTGACCTCATGGGCAAAGGTCAAATAGTGCAATTTTTTCAAATAATTTCCTGCCTGAGTGACATCGTTTTTGTCCAGGTGACATCTTTTTGACAGTTAAAAGATGTCTTAATGAAAGAGCAAGATGGCTGCTACATAGCGGTTTCTGATTGGTTAGATGTCATATTTTCGAGAAGATTGGTCAATAGGTATTGCCTGATATCAGTAGCATGGTTATCGAGTTCGTTTTCTGATTCAACAAAATGGTCACTTAGAAGAATTTCTGATTGGTTGAAATTTTACATTTTGTTCACGACTTTTTATGAAAATTGTTTGTTCAAAGGTGTTGTCTGACAAGACAAATGCAGTGATGATGTTCTTTTTCTTATTGGACAAAATAACTGCCCTACTAATGTTGTGAAATTTTTGGGGTACAAATGTAAATTCTTGAAATTAAGACATCACAATAAAAGCAGTATGAACTGTCTGCCAGTCACAGCTCCACTAGGTCATATGAAGTGTATATACACTGATGACTGGGTAGTTATATGAACTCTCTTAAAGCAACCTCTTAACAAGTTATGAATCCTGTCTACTATCACATCACACTTTGTTACAACTGATACTACAACTGCTGGGAGACTTAAATTCTACTGTACTTGGTAGTTGTGTTCTCTTAGTGACATTCTGTGTCTTTTGCTTTTTTCAGGCAGAAAACATCTATAATGATGAAGAACCAGACACACCAGCTGGAGATTTAGAACAGACCTCTTCTTAGAAACGAACTTGTGAAGTTTGTTCAGTTCTAACAGTTATGGACCAAAATACTCTCCTGTAGAAACTAATCAATGACAATAGATTTTCTGGGTATGAAGAAAATACACCAATAACTAAGGATAATACCAGGAAACGTGCTGCCATTCAATTTGGTTTCGAGGAGATACCTTTTCAGCAGAATTCAAAAGGCAAAAATCTGGATGCCCTGGAGTGCTGTCTAAATTCTTAAGTGTACAAAATATAATTTATTCCAAATTGACAGGTTTTCTGTTAAAGTATCTGTACTGCCTGGTAGGTGCAGGAGTTGCACAGTCCACAGAAAAGATAGTTGTCAAATATTGAATATTGTTTGTGGGGTTTGTTAGATATAGCAGTGGAGTGCACCATCTCCACAGTCATGAGAGTACATTAAAGATCATCTGGTAGTTAGGTTGGTGCTAACAGTATGGGATTGATTTGTTACCAAGATCCATTGGTAACATTTTATATACAGTACATCAATGAAATTTTGAATAAAACGGACTCATTCATGTTATTGTATTCAAAATCACTAACGAACAAATTTAATATGTTTGCTAACATTTTTTAAAAGAAATTGATGCCCTTGCATATTGAAAAACCAGTGAACCTTGGTATATTGAGTTATGTATGTGTTCTGAAGGGTGGGTGGGGTTGTATACATCACAGGTTGAAATATCTGAAAATAATTTTTTGTGCGTTCTGTCTTTTTTCATAACAAGCTGACACCTATGAAGATGTTGATTAATCATGTACAGTAACAATTCAGATTGTCAGTTGTCGTGTAATATTTTACAATGAAATAAAGTATGTAAAACATTCTTTTGTCATTTTCTTTTTGTGATGGAACAACATGCAAGAAAATTGATATGGTTAATGAAAAAATGGTGTTTCAGTTATTAAATTTGATCGTTAGAAATTAGCTTCCAGTACAATATTCTTACAAAAAGAGACAAAGCGGATGCTTATTGCACACTCGTTTGTGGAATAGAATTATGCAGAACTGGACAGGCTCTTAGGTCCACAAGATAAGACTCTGGAGGTCTTACACTATCCACAGATCTAGGTTTCTTCTGTAAACAGATCTAGAATGTCCAGACTAGAGAGGTTCTCTACTGTCTGCATAACTAGGGTGTCTTGAGCTTGTGTGATGTCACAGTACACTGATCTAGGGTGTCCAGGCTGGTGTGATTCCACAGTACACTGACCTAGGGTGTCCAGGCTGGTGTGATTCCACAGTACACTGATCTAGGGTGTCCAGGCAGGTGTGATTCCACAGCACACTGACGTAGGGTGTCCAGGCAGGTGTGATTCCACGGGACACTGACCTAGTATGTCAAGGCTGGTGTGATTCCACGGCACACTGACCTAGGGTGTCCAGGCTGGTGTGATTCCACAGCACACTGACCTAGGGTGTCCAGGCTGGTGTGATTCCACAGCACACTGACCTAGGGTGTCCAGGCTGGTGTGATTCCACAGTACACTGACCTAGGGTGTCCAGGCTGGTGTGATTCCACAGTACACTGACCAAGGATATCCAGGCTGGTGTGATTCCACAGTACACTGACCTAGGGTGTCCAGGCTGGTGTGATTCCACAGTACACTGACCTGGGGTGTCCAGGCTGGTGTGATTCCACAGCACACTGACCTGGGGTGTCCAGGCTGGTGTGATTCCACAGCACACTGACCTGGGGTGTCCAGGCTGGTGTGATTCCACAGTACACTGACCTAGGGTGTCCAGGCTGGTGTGATTCCACAGTACACTGACCTAGGGTGTCCAGGCTGGTGTGATTCCACAGTACACTGACCTAGGGTGTCCAGGCTGGTGTGATTCCACAGTACACTTACATAGATTACAGAGGTTCAGCTACACACCTAAGGTTTCAACATTTTGAAGATTCTTCTGAACACAATCTAGTGTGTCCAAACTGAATAACTGATATTTTAAACCCTGGACCAGTATATATGTTTCAGGACCAAGATCGAAAGAGATTATAATGAATCATTGTCACACAAATTTCATAATGCGGTCAGGTGTTAGAATGACTGGGAGTTTTGTCTGGATTTCTGGATAGCTTGTCATTTTCAAGGGGAGAAATTTTGGCGATTTTCTTTCAAGACAACCAAATTATATTTCAAGGATTTAAAATTTTGCGATCTGAATGTAAAAGGATATCTAATACATGTATCATTATTTCACATACCAAAACTGCTAATTTGAAAAATACTGCGAAGGAGCAAAAATGTCATCCCCCAAGAATAAACGACCATACAGTATAACCTAAACTTGGTCTCCTACATTTTTCCCAATGAAATCTGTCTCCAGCAATTTTTTATTAACAGTTTTTATGAATATGCATGTTTACTTGTGGACTTTGAAATTCACATTATAATTTACGACACACAAAGATGTTTAACTAGATAGCTGTTTGACAGATACACAGTATTATCATACCTGCATACAATCAACTTAAGGGGGTATACTGGAATCAACTGTCTGTTCATTGAAACATTTTGTCCCTATAACTTCTGAACTTGTTACTCAATTTTAACAAAACTGAAGAAATGTTAGCGCCCATGTAGATGTGCATGCATGGTTCTTTTTTATTATTATTCCATCAAACATTTGGTTGCCATGATAACCAGGTCTCTATACACAGGTTTTGTGTAATGGCTCATAGCTCAGTGGTCCTTGGATTAATTTCATGGAAATTCTGACAAATGTTGTCATTCATCAAAGTCTACAATTTGACACATCAAGAGTTTCCAGAACCGTAACTATGGAAACATAATGGAGGCTTTTGATTTGTCAAAATTTAGAATGGTAATTACAATTGTACTACAATGTATGTTCTAAAACACTGATGTATTTTGGTTGTCATGGTAATCAAATATGATCTATGATGAGAGGGTTATTGTCCAAACTTCTCTTTAAATTTGAGACCCATGAAACTTATTCAGAAAAATGGGCTATATGTTGATGTGCATGCAGGTTTTTTTCTTTTTCCCGTCCAAAAATTTTGGTTGCCTTGGTAACCTGGTCACTGCACATTAGTGTTTGTATAATGGCCCATAGATTTTATAATATAAGGTGAGGATATGTGACATGACAATGGAAAAGTATATATCTAGGGAAACTCAAGGTCAAACATAACATGTTGAAATCACTGGGAATGAAACTAAAAGAATTTATGTATAAACTAATAGCATCACATCTACAGGAAGAGGTGTGTGTGTGTTTGTGTGTGGTGGGGGGGTATTAGTTACCCGCAGGATGACAGTTCTAGTTTGTTCAGCAATAAACTTATTCACAAGCAATTTTAACTTGATCTTGTTTCTAAAAGCAAGATCACATACTTTCTTACCCACCTCTTCACATTATGTTGTGTAATCTGGTTTGGTATATCTCAGCAATTCATAAATGTTGGAAATAAATATAACAAGATTGAAGTTGAATAAACATATTAAATATAATGCCTCAGTACATAGGAAATAAATGAAAAAGACACTAACAAATGTCATTTTCAAAGAAATATCACAGTTCAAAATGTGTACAGCTTGTTCCCTTCGATGTGCTATCAGTCTAAATCAGCCAATGTATTAGACTTCTCTTCTACATGCTGACTGGAGTAAATTTGAGTGTTGAATGCTACACCTGTACAAAGTTTCAACAACAGCAGTATAGGAATGGTGAATTGGATGGAAACGCAACAACGTATATCCAGGTGCTTTCACAAAAACTAGCATTGAACTAAACTTCGACATCAACACTAATAGTCACAACACTTATTGCACTAAAATCTTACTATAAGAACATTTTTGGTTTTAGATATATGTCGATAAAACGTGGTATTTTGATGGTGTTCATGAGAGGCATACAGATCTGGAAACGTCACAATGTAACTATAAGTAACTTAATATTAAACAAAATGAGGATAATTCTACAACAGCATGTAAGAGTTAGTCTGTCTTCATCTTCCACAGGATGTGTGATAATATTGAGGATTAGAGGGTCCCAATATTTCCATCCTTTCATCCCTTGCTATAGCACATCTCATCATGATCCTTCACCATATGGAAAAGACTTTTGGGTGTCAGTCTCTCAGGATGGTTGCCCAATACATACGTCTCGTAAGCAACTAACATCTGTAATCGAAAAAACAACGTATGGTAAGCATCTATGATGGATTATGATAACAGAAAGAAACAAACAGGATTAGGATAAATTGTAAAATATACGTGGTAAAAGCCTGTTGCGGTGTCTATCACCAGACAACATGTACATCATTACTTTCATATCCCTTGGGTGAAGGGCATTGCTTTAAAATCGAAGGTCAAATCTGGACAAAGTAAATCTCTGTCTGGACAAGGTAACATTGTGTCTGTGTTGTTATTTCTTTATTCTAGTAGATATTCATAATATGATATTTATGATTTCTTTTACATCAATTGAGTCAAATTTAAATCTTTCCAATCATTTTCTCTTCTGCTTTACATATTTCCCTGTTACCTGAAGGAAATGTCAAACTGAGTGCAGTGTGTCTATTTATAGACACAGGGTCATGAATCAAATCTGACCACCATAGTAGTACATAATAGACATACTATCATATAGGACTTGTATAGTGCTGTTTGTCTAAATGACTGCAGATGTTTCCTTAAACAACATCCTTTAAATGCATTTTCAAATTTATCATTTCACTTTCTGCTTTACAGAAACAATGACGTAGTAAACAAACATATGGAATTCAATTAGATTACCCTTAATTGTATCTACTATTAAGGTCACTATAAAGGGTCAAAGGTCATATAATTGTGTTTATGAGATCCTATCATGAAATTGATTAATGGATTCACAGCATTGTTTGGCATAGGAAGTTATGTGTTAACTTTGTGTGCACTTTTATCATATATTTAATCACCTGTTGAGCACATCGATGGAACGGCATCTGTCCAACGGCAGTACCTAGTCCTGGACATAAAACACTTCTGATTGGCTCAACATCAACCCTCCTGTTGTGCTTCTTGACTGAAAAAATGAAAATAACATATATAATGGTCTTGAAGAAGCATAAAATTTAGTGAAACTTGTGGACATTTTCTTACACCAAGCTTATTGTGATTGACTTCTGCTTCTAGCATTTTGAAAATATATTCTAATTTTAAGACCACACATTCTATAACAATTAACCTAGATTTCTAAGGCCCCATTTCTAGCTACTATCCTGGTAATGCAAAGGGTATCTACCCTAGATGTGGGTAATGATGTTTTCTGTGTGATAAAACTCAGAAAATCTAATTATGCTGCTAACTACCAATACTGATACGTCATAACTCACAACTACTGTTTGATTTGCTGGTTATCAGAATATCTTGGTAATTAGATATCAGATATGGATCAAATCGTTCCCACTGGGAAATGTCATATATAATATACAGCTTTAGACAGACACTACAGACAATAACTACAAAACTAGATACATCTGTCACTGTTAAATATATTGTGTTATCATCTCTTACCAGCCAGTATTACAGCACGGAAAGCCAGGTAGGAATTAGGTGTCTCATCTACCTCAATAGGTATCCTCATTGTTGGGGCAGACACCAGATATTTGATGGGCTGACCTTCATTATAAACTTCATCTGTCTCCTTAGAGATACCAGCTTCATCATAAGCAGGAATTATCACAGCATCACCCTATAAAAGTCAACAATACATCATCATCGTCATCATTATCATCATCATCACCATCAGCATCATCATCATCATCATCATCATCATCATCATCAATCATCATCATCATATCATCATCATCATCATCATCATCATCATCATCATCATCATCATCATCATCATCATCATCATCACCATCAGCATCATCAACATCATCATCCCAATCATCATCATCATCATCATCATCATCATCGTCATTATCATCATCATCGTCATTATCATCATCATCATCATCATTATCAATCTATCATAATTTGATTTACTGACACAAAGGTCATGGTCAGGTAATTTATTATATAAGGTCATGGTCTGGTGATTTACTATATAAGATCATGGTCTGGTGATTTATTATATAAGATCATGGCAGGGTGACCAGTTGATACAATTTGAGGTATAATAAGGACCTACCACTAACAGTTCACCATCATGTTCCTTCCTGATCACATCCTGTAATCTGTGCTGCCTGAAATAAAAACATTGAACATCAGTCAGTGTGAATACATGCAGACTATTTATAGTTCATGACCCTGTGACCTTAACATGCTTTAAATAATCTCTCACCCAATCAATTTCCTAGATGTAGTCCCTGCTCCTATACAAGCAAGAGTATGATAGAAAGCAAAACTTGGCAGAGTGGTTGTTCTTAACACCTGCAATTTACATGCAAATACAAAGAGATATTGAGTTTTATCCTGATCTCAACTATCTTCACTAGTAGGTGATAATAAAGACAGGACCAAAAGCCAAGGCTGTCAGTGTAAAAGGTTAAGAAAGGAAAGATATTATTCATTACTTTCAGGTACTGAAGGAATAATTAAACAAAGGCCAGAAAATGGGATTTTTTATGTGTGAGTAGATGTCACCAAAAGGGGATTAGGAAGGGAGATAATCTTTCTTTGTTACCACAAAAAGAATAGAAAGGGGGATTATTATATCAAAAGTAATGAGTAGAAATCACCAGAAGGAGGCTGGCCAGTAGAAGGAAACTACATCTGTAATTTGTTGGGGACAAAAAAAGAGGGATAACTGATCCCTCACAGACAAAAAAGGGAGATAACTCACATCTGCCAGCCAAAGTGTCTAGTGTATACCATATCAATTCCTCCATCCATGAACCCAAAGCTGTTGGCAGGAGATACCTGTGAAAAGGGTAACAAAAAGTTAGCGATGTCCAGCTTCTTACTTACTATATATTACTTGTACCACTTCAAATGTAGCAACAGTTATAATCTCCTTACTTAATAATGAATTTATTAATTATAAGTTTGTGGTTCAAGATAGAGCAAGTAAAAAGCAACAGTGACGACTCATTTTCTATAACGACAGCCTTTATAGATAATAAAACATCAGTCAATACTAGTGTTGTTTTAATTTTAGGATGTGTTTCAGCTTACCAAGGCATCAGCTGCTGGGGCTCCTTTGAATATGTCACCAGCAGAAACCTTCAAAAGAGATTTATTTCAGAACATTTTTAAAGTTAAAAACAAATTTCACATACTGGAATCTGGTCATTGTTTTAAGTGAACTGTTCCAACTGTAAGTATTTAGAAGATGTGAAGCATTAAATCTTAACTTTACAAATATGTTAATGTTGACTGTGTATTGGCTATACACACTGTATAAGAACATTTCAAAACAAAATAAAAAAAAGTGATTGAAAGACAGTTCTATGTCCAGGAAGGAGGGTAGTGAGCTTCCACCAGGGATCAAGCCCCACAACCCCAAGGCCCCTTGTGTATCATCCTACTGTAGAGCTTAAATAAAATTACCTCCAATGTAAAGCTGGAAAGCAACCATAATGTAATGTAGTTAAGGATCCACAAAATGTAGTAACCTTTAAGTGATCATGAATCGAGTGAGATGGGTGATGAAACTCTTATTTAATGTTATTTATAAGTTCATCTAACAACACACAGGTGTGAAAAGCTTGATCTGTGAAGTTTTTTTTTTATATGATTTCATTAAGGGAACAAATATAGATATAGGAGGGAAAACCTATGGGTGAGATATAGGAGGGAAAACCTATGGATGAGACATACGTTGCCACCTCTAAATTTTGAACTTATGTCCAAGGAGAGAATGACCTGCAGCTCACTCCATCATGAATGCAAACATCATGACAGTCAGTATGTTAGCACATAAATGATCATGGTGATCAAGGCACCCTATAATTGTACCTCTTGAACTGTAAAGATAAAAAATGTAAGACAATGCGGAAAATCATATTCCTGATGAAAACTTTGACAGAAATCTAATCCGTGTGGCCCACATGATAGTCCACAGCTCTACCCACTGCTGGAAATAGCTATGATCTGTCAGCTGAGTGACAAAGACAGTGCTTTATGCTATGGACAAACAGTGGCCATTGTAATGAAAAAATCAGGAGACTATTCCTATAGAATGGAATGTTAATATAGAATCAGTAAAACCAGATTATGATGCGTACCTCTACTCCACCACCTTCACCACAATGGTCACTAAAGACGTTTTCCCATGCCTTCACCATATTTGGGTTGAAGTCCCGAAATTTGTACACCACTTTTATATCCTCTTCCTCTCTCTCCTGCTCGATTCCTTCAGCTCCTTTCTCTTCACCTGTCACTCCAGCCACATCCTTTTGCTCCACTTCTTTCCTCGTGACAGTTTCTGCGTCGCCATCACTTTGTTTTGTCTCCGTCGATGTGTTTGTTTCTTTCTCGTCCTCGCGTGTTTCCTTTTGGGGTTTATTGTTACTTACACTTTCCATTTCTACTTCCGTTTTATCCCAAATCGAGATATTTATGATTTTAAATGATAACAGTCACACAATTCCTTAAATCAAAATAAGTGTATGCTCTGAACGACATATAAACAGTACTGAATATCAGAAACACAGGTTAGTCTATGTGTTTACAGAAAGAAATGCAATATAAGCAGTGTGGTCGTGCGTCATTCGACCAGAAATAGTTGTGACACTTAACCGGTGTCTAGGGGAAAATGAATACCGTGCATCACAAATAAGTTAGAAATCTTTGATTAACATTTTAGAGATGTTAAGTTACTTTTTCAATGCTTTCAAATTAGATCAACTGATAATTATGTTGTAATTATACACTTAAATATATCAACAGACCATTGTGACTTCTTAAGTGGGCAAATTTTGAAGGGTACGAAATTTAGCCTGGTCGTTGGCGTCCGATTTCGTGATATATATGATATCATGTAAAGCTTATATCTTTATTTTCTTCGTTATAATAATATGATGGTGAAGAACATTATTATTCTTTCGTTTTTTGTTTATGAAACTGTTCAAACTGAAATATTTGCTTAGTGTTACCGGCCGTTATACCTACTTTTGCTTTGAAGCATTCGGAACGCTTCTAACATGTTCATGACTTACTGTGTGTTACCCGACCTTGTCATTCCTTGGTAGTGCCCTACATGCCTATAGTAAACATGAGCTTTAGATCTTTCAGCAGACTTGTACAGGTAATTTCTGCATTTCGGCGATGTTGTGCACAAACATTGCATTTATTTTGTATGTCTTAAGATGTGATGTGAAATAACGTGATTTTTATGCTATTTCATATTATCTTCAGATTTTTTAATTGCCATTCAGTAGCAAGTACATCTTTCAAAGTACTTAACCATTGCAGATAAAAATGTACTGTCCAACAAGTCTTGGCTTAAGTGCATATTGTTTGTTAAATGGTCACAAACACAGGCAATAGGGTTGCAGGCATTGGTTGCAGTTTATTTTCCTCTTTGTCACTAAATACTGATTCTACACCTCGAAAGTTTGATCACAAGGACACGCTATCTGGAAAATTGTATGAAATTGGTTACAGCATTAGATATACAGACTCAGACCAATGTCAAACATATTCTGTATTGTATAGTTTGCAGTACAAAGTAATGAGTGTATTTGATAAGGTTTTTAACCAAACTTAATCAATATGTTTTACTTCATTTTGTATGTTGTTGCTTTATGTTGTCATCTGTACTATATTTTATGTATATTTTCCAGAAGTCAACCAGACAACATGTCCGGTGTTTCAGCCAAATCAGTGGTTTAAATGTGAGTATAAAAATATATATAATCTGGAGTAGAATGCAATAAATAACAACTAGCTTTCTTTACTCTCTCCTGTTACATATCAACCAATGTTGGGGAACATTGTGACAGATATACAGAGCAAAATCGTGGCAGATGTTCTAGATGAATTTTACATTAATTTTTATATCAAAAGGTGACATATAAGAAATGAATTGGTTACATGGTTTTGAAACTATTAACACATCTACAGGACTTTGATCATCAACCCTAAAATCTTTGATAATTTTCATCAGTTTATGCCCTAAGGATAGTTACAACAGTCCAACTTGCTTTTTTGAACTGAAATATTAGTGATTCACTGATATATAAAATTCAGCTGCATATTCCAAAAGCTTTTGTGACTGTGCTGAGTGTCATGTCTATGTTCAAAGAATAAGCCATGTTACATGTGATGAGTTGTTGGATTGGTGGCAGTGAAGCATAACCCCTAGTGAACATCACTCTCAAAATAAAATACAATGATAATATTTTTGTATGTTTCAGTCTGTGACAATACAGAATTAAATCTAAGATAAGATGTACTGATCAAACAGTTTATTGGGAAATAACTATTGGTAGATAGAATAAGTTATCTTCCTAAAAGATTTACAGTTGACTTGTATCCACACTGTACAATGAACAATATTGACATTTTCACTGTAGCGATAGGTAGTGTAGTGATGTGACATCTGGCTTCTATCTGTTGTTTTGATAGCTGGACAAGAATGATTTCTTTCAGAGGACAGTATGATCCTGAGATCACCTGAGGATTTTTTTATGTGTAGAATGTTGTCATCTTTACCAGGCTTTAATGTTAACATGTTTGGTATCTCGAGTATGTCAAAACATGTCAACATTAAAGCCTGGTCTTCCTTGGATTTTGTTTGGTTATCTATACTTATTGTTTATATGTTACTAGTACCATCCTAGGAGGATTACTGAAAATTAATGGAAGTACCCTCAGGGACATTGGATCTCATTTTCTTTGTATTGTTCTAACGAGTCAAAATGTTATTATGGTGACCTTTATTTTAAGAGTTGTTTGACAAGTTATATGTTGTTTTCTGATACTAACCATTTGTTTAATTTGTTAGGATGTTGTGATTGTGAGTGCTGTGAGGACACCTATAGGGTCATTCCTCAGCAGTTTGTCAGAACTCTCAGCCCCTAGACTGGGCTCGGTCGCCATTAAGGAAGCCATCAGCAGGGCAGGTAATTCTCCATTAAAACTGTTCTGGTCCAGTATTCACTGATATAATTAACTTTACCACTGTGGAATTAAAGGCACACTATCTACAAAACATCTTTGTACAATGTTTAGAATTTGATATATTAAAACACCAATGAGATCTCTTAATGATACATTAATTATGTTCCTTAGGGATTGAAGGTGATGCTGTGAATGAGGTGTACATGGGAAATGTTTGTCAGGCTGACGAGGGACAGGCACCATGTCGTCAGGCTACCTTGGGAGCAGGTAAGTATATATCACTGTATTTGCGATGTCAGCTATCTTCTGTCAGGCTGATGAGGGACAGGCACCTTTGAAGTAGGTCTGTATACTGTAAACCAACTTTCTTTCACAGCTACTAACTTTAACATTTTCAGCAATATAACAAGTTCGCATCAATTCACTCTGCCAAATTCTGAGCTGCTATTGTATAATTCAAAGAGCACAGTCTAAATCAAAACCCTGTAGAGAGCCCCATATCTGGTCACTAATTTAACTGGGACATGTGAGCTTACAACAGGATGTATCTGAGATAGAGGTCAGTAGTGACCTGTTAATAGATTTCTGACATCTTATAAACAGCAGATGGTAAAATACCCTAATTAATTAATCAGTTGAGTTAATATTTTAACTCTTTGGGTGTTTTGTGTTTTTGTTAAGACAGTAATGTGAAGGTCAATTGCAATTATGAAAAATCTTGCATGGCTTCAGATAAAGATGCATGTATGTGATCCATTCCTGGAATTCTAATATGCTAAAGATCTCCAACAGCATGTTTCATTTACCAAATGCAAACTCCTCAGAATTAAGCACTCGAAGGAACTAATTGATACTGAATTCAACCAAAGATTTATGAAATATGTGCTTGACATATGCATTCAGGATAACCTGCATGTAAGGTAAATAGTTATTATAAAGGAGTAAATGGTAACTTTGAAAGTCACTGTTCATTAGTTTTATTTTAATTTTCATGGTCTTTCTTTGATCGCATTATTCATGAAAATAAATTACACACAGTATATGACTGTCATTTTTTTGTAAACTATCCGCAGTCTGCTTACATTTTCCCCAGATAGCAATCTTGACTGTTTGATCCTCACCTGATACATCATTTTCAGTGGATTAACATTTAAATGCCAGATACATGTAAAACAAATAATAGCATACTCAGAAAATCAAGCTGACATTCTTGTCCTGATAAAAAGATTTTTAGCTGTTTGCCAAGGTAAAAGTCTTTCGTGTATTAATCTTGTCACATTTTAAATATTTTGATTTACAGGTCTACCAATCACCACACCAACTACAGCTATCAACAAAGTGTGTGCATCTGGTATGAAGTCAGTCATGATGGCTAGTCAGAACCTCATGTGTGGCCATCAGGTAAAACATTCTAGTATTCATTCAGGTGTAACCTCCAGGTAAAATATTCTAGTATTCATTCAGGTGTAACCTCCAGATAAAACATTCTAGTAAACGCTCAGGTGTAACATCCAGGTAAAACATTCTAGTATTCATTCAGGTGTAACCTCCAGGTAAAACATTCTAGTATTCATTCAGGTGTAATCACCAGGTAAAATATTCTAATATTCAGTCAGGTATAACGACCATGTAAGTCATACTAGTATCTGATGTCATTATTACTGAGTAAACCATTTAATAATTTATATTGTGTGTGAAACATGTCCTTGTTAAATCTGTGTCCCAACATAGTTTTATGCTTTGGGATTTGAAGGGATGCACAGTTACCATAGGGAAATGGATTGTACTGTTTTATCATGTATTATTTGTGTCATTTACAGGACGTTATGGTGGCCGGAGGGATGGAGAGTATGTCCAACGTTCCCTACTACATGACCCGTGGTCAGACACCTTATGGTAAAGTCGAGCTAAGGGTGAGCATCAAAATTCATTCCGGTTGTGTTTTGTGAAATAAAGAAAGGTGATTATGGGAGAAGAAGTCGTTCAATTCTTCATGATTGTTTAAAATCTATTCAGATATTGCGTAAAATCTTGTGTATATTTTTGTTAATACTGTACTTGGTTGTTTTAGGATGGCATCGTGTCCGATGGTCTTACAGACGCCTACGACCACATACACATGGTGAGTTATCACTGATGATGTCTGGTCATCACAAATCTTAGTAGATGATTTACAATAAATATAGCTGTCTATGGCTCACATGGTAGTTGAGGGTGTATGTGGTTGTTTTAAGATATGTGTGTTTTATTTCAGGGTACATGTGCAGAGAATACCGCCAAGAAATATGCGATTAGTCGAGAGGAACAGGATGGGTATGCCATTAGGAGTTACAAACTCAGCCAGAAGGCTGCCTCTGAGGGGGTGTTTGAGAAGGAGATTACACCTGTAGTAATTCCGAAGAAGAAAGGTATTTTTTAAAGTTGGAAGACAATACATGTATAGAGAAATAATATACAAGGGGAGCTAATTCAGAGAGGTGTTACTAATGTAGAGTTTGTCGCAGTTGTATCTCTGATTTTGTGACTATTCACAGAACAGTTAACATTCTATAAATCACTGATCCAAACCTTTGTTAGCGATGATCATATGATTTATAAACTAATTGGAGTTTCGTGTAAGACTTCTCATCTGCTATCATCATTTTCCTGGATCCCTATTGATATTATGATGTTGTTTGACTTTGTCTGGCCTTTGTAAGTCACATACATCATCCCTTAGTCATTGATATCTTATTTAAATGTAGTTTGTTGATTTTGATTGACTCTTTGTAATGTTGATGTTGGTTGGCTGTTTTCATTATGACAGGTGATCCAGTCACTATCAGTACTGATGAGGAATACAAGAAGGTCAATTTTGATAAATTTGCTTCACTACGGACAGTGTTCAAGAAAGACGGTCAGTAAACAGACAAATAGTAGTGGGCTGCCATTATTTTCAAATAGTCAGTGTGAATTTGAAAGCTAATGTTAGTGAACTGTATATTCAAATACTGAAACAAGAATGACCAGTGTTATCAGGGACGTAGGTAACGTTATCTACGTCCCTGGTGTTATTGATTGTATTAACTATTTAATACAAGACCATCACATCTTCAAGGTCACTTCCAAATAATTTGTAATTTCATGTGAAAAATATAACATGCATGTTTTTTGTGTGCTTTTGAATCTATTTCAAATCAAAGATATTCTCAATAGTTATAAATATCAAATAGACAAAGTAATGAGAATATTGGGTAAATATCTAAAGAAAGAAGAAACTTTGGATATGAATTCATAATTGAAGCCTCATGCATGCTGTGGTTACAAATTCATGCAGAAAATATGAACAAGTTTAAGTTCATTGAGATGTGAGATGTCTGTTGACAGCATACTGCACCAAATGCCTGTACATTTACATACATATATTTTCCAAAATGTAGGATACTAATTATGTATGAAATCTTTACAGGGACCATCACAGCAGCCAATGCCAGTACTTTAAATGATGGAGCAGCAGCTCTGGTTCTGATGACAGCTAAGGCAGCGGAACAACATGGGGTCAAACCTCTCGCCAGAGTCATGGGTACTCACTTACTGATTAACATACAGGCATCTGGTTTACATTGAGGCCGATCTTGTCAGATAATCACTCTTGTGAAAAAAGTATTTATAAAGCAGATTCAAGTTTACAATGGATTGGAGTGAATCAATCTTTGTTTTTTGTGGAATTTTTTAATATTTATGACCTACTTCATTGTTCCTGTGTTCCTGACTTCTCTAGCTCTCTTTTGCATTATTTAGGAGTTATTGCCCTTTGTTATTTTCATACTTTAATTTTGTCTGCAGCATTTCACTAAAGCCATTAGCAGTATCAACACAAAACTTCATAGGTTAATAGATATTGATAAGGAGAAGAGCAGCGTACAAGAACCATAACTCTCTTTTGCATAATTAGCCCTTTTGTATCTAGCGTTTATTCAGGAAACATCTATCAGTTCTATCGAATCTCTTGGTTTGTTAATTTGTTTTACTTTTGAAATTGGTCTCATTATACCCTTGTTACACAGTAAAACCAGATCTGTAAGAACATTAATCTATATGCTTGACTTGTATGTTTCCTCTACAGGAATGTCTATAATTCTGCTCCAGGTTTTGCTGATGTCTGTAATTCTGCTCCAGGTTTTGCTGATGTCTGTAATTCTGCTCCAGGTTTTGCTGATGTCTGTAATTCTGCTCCAGGTTTTGCTGATGTCTGTAATTCTGCTCCAGGTTTTGCTGATGTCTGTAATTCTGCTCCAGGTTTTGCTGATGTCTGTAATTCTGCTCCAGATTTTGCTGATGTCTGTAATTCTGCTCCAGGTTTTGCTGATGTCTGTAATTCTGCTCCAGGTTTTGCTGATGCAGCTATTGCTCCAATCGACTTTTCCACGGCACCTGCCCATGCTGTCCCCAAAGTACTGGCCAACACTGGAGTGAAAAAAGAGGACATAGACATGTGGGAGATTAACGAGGCCTTCAGTGTTGTCATCCTAGCCAATGTCAAAGAACTGGATATTGACATGAACAAAGTGAACATCCATGGTGGAGCAGTCAGTATCGGTCATCCCATAGGGTAGGTGATCAACATTAGTCATTCCTTGTGGTAGGTGATCAGCATTGGTCATCTTATAGGGTAGGTGGACAGTATCAGTCATTCCATGTGGTAGGTGATCAGCATTGGTCATCCCATAGGGTAGGTGGACAGTATCAGTCATTCCATGTGGTAATTGATCAGCATTGGTCATCCTATAGGGTAGGTGATCAGCATTAGTCATCCTATAGGGTAGGTGGACAGTATCAGTCATCCTATAGGGTAGGTGGACAGTATCAGTCATTCCATGTGGTAGGTGATCAGCATTGGTCATCCTATAGGGTAGGTGATCAGCATTGGTCATCCTATAGGGTAGGTGGACAGTATCAGTCATCCTATAGGGTAGGTGGACAGTATCAGTCATTCCATGTGGTAGGTGATCAGCATTGGTCATCCTATAGGGTAGGTGATCAGCATTGGTCATCCTATAGGGTAGGTGGACAGTATCAGTCATCCTATAGGGTAGGTGGACAGTATCAGTCATTCCATGTGGTAGGTGATCAGCATTGGTCATCCTATAGGGTAGGTGATCAGCATTGGTCATCCTATAGGGTAGGTGGACAGTATCAATCATCCTATAGGGTAGGTGATCAGCATTGGTCATCCTATAGGGTAGGTGGACAGTATCAGTCATCCCATGTGGTAGGTGATCAGCATTGGTCATCCTATAGGGTAGGTGGACAGTATCAGTCATTCCATGTGATAGGTGATCAGCATTGGTTGGTCATCCTATAGGGTAGGTGATCAACATCAGTCATTCCATGTGGTAGGTGATCAGCATTGGTCATCCCATAGGGTAGATGATCAGCATTGGTCATCCTATAGGGTAAGTGGACAGTATAAGTCATTCCATGTGTTAGGTGATCAGCATTGGTTGGTCATCCTATAGGGTAGGTGATCAGCACTGGTCATCCTATAGGGTAAGTGGACAGTATAAGTCATTCCATGTGGTAGGTAATCAGCATTGGTCATCCTATAGGGAAGGTGGACAGTATCGGTCATCCCATGTGGTAGTTGATCAGCATTGGTCATCCTATAGGGTAGGTGATCAGCATTGGTCATCCTATAGGGTAGGTGGACAGTATCGGTCATTCCATGTGGTAGGTGATCAGCATTGGTCATCCTATCAGGTAGGTGCACAGTATCAGTCATTCCATGTGGTAGGTGATCAGCATTGGTCATCCTATAGGGTAGGTGGACAGTATCAGTCATTCCATGTGGTAGTTGATCAGCATTGGTCATCCTATAGGGTAGGTGATCAGCATTGGTCATCCTATTGGGCAGGTGGACAGTATCGGTCATTCAAGGTGGTAGGTGATCAGCATTGGTCATCATAGAATGGCAGTCATATTGGTTAATTTAGAGTACCAAGCAGCAAATCAACATACACCTATCATTTGGTGGGGAATAAAATATTGTTAACTAGCAAAAGCATAGATACTTTATTTTGCAAATCAAATAGCAAAATTGTGGGTATCATTTCAACCTATGTCCATAATCTTAGAAGACAAAAAAATAATATTAAAAAAGGAATTGAAAATTTTATCATTAACTTGAGTAAGAAGATATAGTGGATAATATAAATTCATTGATAAGAATTAAATCAGTAACGTTATTGATAAGGACTTGTGCAATTTTTATGGTTTACTGTAAATACATTTTTCACTAAAAGTTTCAGATTGTGAACTTGCTTCTTTGAAAATTTCAGAATGTCTGGGGCTCGCATTACTGGTCACTTGGTCCACAATCTACAGCCAGGACAGAAAGGAATGGCCGCCATTTGTAATGGTGGGGGTGGTGCATCAGCCATCTTGATTGAGAAGTTATAACTGTCAACAAAGTTTGAAGAAATGATTGTGATATAAAACGACGTCACATCCCAGTAGTACAGAGGACTTGTTAAGTGATATCATTTCAGAGGTGCGGGTGATTTTTATGATTGGTTTGTTATATACATATCTGTCTGCTGTACTCAGCATTAGTGTGGTTGGACAGTGGTCTCCTTTACTAGACCAGTGTATTCAGTGTAAATAATACATACAAATTATGAAAACAGAATCCTATTTCATCTTGTACAAACATTCATGTTGATAGCCACACTGCAGTATTACTCGAGATCATTTAGTTTAATTTTTTTTCTCCTTAATATTACTTTCTGAATTAAATATCACAGTTGACTAAAACTTAACCTGCTATCATTTATTTCTACCTGGATGTTGGGAATACTCTACTTTACGAATTTGCCTCTTCAGACAAATCGTTGAATACATGTGCTGGTCTAGCAATGACTTTAAATTTGTTAATGATGAGCTATTAAAGACAAGGACTCTGGAAGACTCAAATACCGGTAACAAAAATAAATATGGATGCCAAAGTTATTTTCGTACAGATAATCACAAGGGATTTGAATTTGTGATTTACGGTAACATTATATTTGTTATTGTCATAGGCATTTTTTTATCCTAAGCTTCTTCTTGGCTCTTTTTCTCTTTATGTTTTATTTATCTGATATTTTGGGGGAAAAACGATGTGCTAATTTTAATCTCTTTGAAATAGGGATATCTTTCAAGTGTATGTAACTAGATACCATGATACAAGTATTTATGGAAATCAAGACTTCATTTACAACCCCAGAAAGAAAAAGAATTTAGGTGGCACATAGAACAAACAAGTAACAGTGATTTAGGGAAATATTGAGCCATGTAATGGCACTGTTATATTCCATAGATCTGTTATAATATCAGTGCTAAATCGTTTTACAGGAAATGTTTTGATACATAATATTATGATATTAAATGATGATTTGATATACAATAATTGTTTTTATTTATCTGGAGTTGCCTCCCTTCTGACATGAAGTCATTTTGTTTTTATTTATCTGGAGTTGCCTCCCTTCTGACATGAAGTCGTTTTGTTTTTGTTTATCTTGATTTGCCTCCCTTCTAACATAGAGTCACATAACACAGTGTCACCAAGCTGAAGAAAAATGTTTCCTAAGTTGCTATCGTCCAGTCCTGGATTATCAAGATGATGTTTCAATTCCTCACATGGTATTTGACAGGAATGGTTCCCATGGTTACATTTCAATTGATAAACAGAGCAGATGTTTACCTTATCTGTTCTGTCAAGATCTTGTGTCCTGTATTGGACAGCAGGATTTGTCTGTATTTAAGATCTGTCATCCTGTATTGGACAGCAGGATTTGTCTGTATTTAAGATCTGTCATCCTGTATTGGACAGCAGGATTTGTCTGTATTTAAGATCTGCCATCCTGTATTGGACAGCAGGATTTGTCTGTATTTAAGATCAGTCATCCTGTATTGGACAGTAAGACTTGTCTGTATTTAAGATCTGTCATCCTGTATTGGACAGCAGGATTTGTCTGTATTTAAGATCAGTCACCTGTATTGGACAGTAAGACTTGTCTGTATTTAAGATCTGTAATCCTGTATTGGACAGCAGGATTTGTCTGTATTTAAGATCTGTCATCCTGTATTGGACAGCAGGATTTGTCTGTATTTAAGATCTGTCATCCTGTATTGGACAGTAAGACTTGTCTGTATTTAAGATCTGTAATCCTGTATTGGACAGCAGGATTTGTCTGTATTTAAGATCTGTATTGGACAGTCTTGTCTGTATTGATCTGTCATCCTGTATTGGACAGCAAGATTTGTCTGTATTTAAGATAGTCACCTGTATTGGACAGTAACACTTGTCTGTATTTAAGATCTGTAATCCTGTATTGGACAGCAGGATTTGTCTGTATTTAAGATCTGTCATCCTGTATTGGACAGTAAGACTTGTCTGTATTTAAGATCTGTAATCCTGTATTGGACAGCAGGATTTGTCTGTATTTAAGATCTGTCATCCTGTATTGGACAGTAAGACTTGTCTGTATTTAAGATCTGTCATCCTGTATTGGACAGCAGGATTTGTCTGTATTTAAGATCAGTCACCTGTATTGGACAGTAAGACTTGTCTGTATTTAAGATCTGTAATCCTGTATTGGACAGCAGGATTTGTCTGTATTTAAGATCAGTCACCTGTAATGGACTTGGATGTTGTTAGAATCTTAATATACTGTTGAGATATTAACACAAGTCACAATTCAGGGGTCACTAACAACTACTATTGATTTGAGTCACAGCTAAAATATATAGCATTTGATATTGACTTGGGTCACACTGAAGATGTCTTTAGCAACTTACCTGTTTTTGACCCCAGACATAATTCTGATGTCACTAGCAACTTGTCTGTGACTCCAGACATAGTTCTGATGTCACTAGCAACTTGTCTGTTTGTGACCCCAGACATAGTTCTGATGTCTCTAGCAACTTGTCTGTCTGTGACTCCAGACATAGTTCTGATGTCTCTAGCAACTTGTCTGTTTGTGACCCCAGACATAGTTCTGATGTCTCAAGCAACTTGTCTGTCTGTGACTCCAGACATAGTTCTGATGTCTCTAGCTACTTGTCCGTTTGTGACTCCAGACATAGTTCTGATGTCTCTAGCAACTTGTCTGTCTGTGACCCCAGACATAATTCTGATGTCTCTAGCAACTTGTCTGTGACTCCAGACATAATTCTGATGTCACTAGCAACTTGTCTGTTTGTGACTCCAGACATAATTCTGATGTCACTAGCAACTTGTCTGTGACTCCAGACATAATTCTGATGTCACTAGCAACTTGTCCGTTTGTGACTCCAGACATAATTCTGATGTCACTAGCAACTTGTCCGTTTGTGACTCCAGACATAGTTCTGATGTCACTAGCAACTTGTCTGTTTGTGACTCCAGACATAATTCTGATGTCTCTAGCAACTTGTCTGTGACTCCAGACATAATTCTGATGTCACTAGCAACTTGTCTGTGACTCCAGACATAATTCTGATGTCACTAGCAACTTGTCTGTGACTCCAGACATAATTCTGATGTCACTAGCAACTTGTCTGTTTGTGACTCCAGACATAATTCTGATGTCACTAGCAGCTTGTCTGTTTGTGACTCCAGACATAATTCTGATGTCACTAGCAACTTGTCCGTTTGTGACTCCAGACATAGTTCTGATGTCACTAGCAACTTGTCCGTTTGTGACTCCAGACATAATTCTGATGTCACTAGCAACTTGTGTGACTCCAGACATAATTCTGATGTCACTAGCAACTTGTCTGTTTGTGACTCCAGACATAATTCTGATGTCTCTAGCAACTGACAGTGACTCCAATAACTATTCTGATGTCTCTAGCACAACTCACAAGTCTATATTGTATCTCCTTGTATCACAGTGACTGCTGTCATTCATGTCATGTGATCTGTCAGCGTAGTTCAACATTATTTGGGTGGACTTACTTCATGCAGGCTTACAAGGGCTATTTGATAAGATGTGAGCCTTGTATTGAAGAAGATAAAGTAAACAAGGCAAGTGACTGTTGCAAAATGGACAAAATCACTGACAGAGCAGTGATTCAATATTTGCATAAGAAAGGTCTAGCACATAAGGATATCCAAACTGATATGGTAACAACACTAGGGAATGATGCCCCTTCATATACTACAGTGAAATGGTGGGTAGCATGGTAGGCACGGCCTTGGGAATGACACTTGTCCAAGAAGGCCTGTCACTGTTGGAACCCTAGAAATAAAGTCCAGGATATTGTTATGGCTGACAGGTGAGTTACATAGAGAGATATGTAGCCAGTACAGTTGGGATTTCACAGGAAATAGTACATTCCATTCTTACTGAAGATATTGCAATGAGAAAGCTCTCAGTCCATTCGGAACCAAGATTTCTGACAGCTGATCAGTAACACACCAGGCAGACTTTGTCGCATGCTAATATAAATCTTTTATAGGCAGACCCTGCTAACTTTCCATCACTTCACCCCAGAGGCCAAACAACAGCCTAAACAATGGAAGCTCTATGGTTCACCCCTGCCAAAGTAGGCAAAGACTGTTTCATCAAGCGGGAAAAGGTTATGGCCTCAGTTTTCTGGGACGCTGATGGTATTCTGATGGCAGATGGTAGATTATCTGCGAAGGGGACAAACAATCAATGGCAGAAAACTAAGTAACCCATGTCCACAAGTCTGTCATTGTCATGGCTGCCACTAACAATTGTGACTTTGAATAAATTCAGCATCTGCCTTATTCACCTGATATCAGATTTTTATCCATTTCCAAAACTGAAAAATCCAGTACCCTTTTTCGTTCAGATGATGACGTCATACATACAGTAGAGGACTTTCTGAACGGTCAAGAAAAGGACTTCTTTAAAGGTGGTTTGAGTCCCTTAAACATACCTGGCAAAATGTTCAGATACTGAAAGGGATTTTGTTGAAATATAATGCAATACATCAGTGAAAATTCAAACCTTTAGATATGAGGCCCACAACTTATCAATCGGCCGTTGTACCAGAGGGAAACTCTAGCTTTAGTATTTTAGGAAATCAACAACCAAAAAACAAACTGATGACAGATTTGAGTTTAAAATTGTTTTAATATGTATCAGATCATTTTATGATTCTGTCAATACAATATATTTCATATAAAGGACAGACTTTGTACAAACTTTAAGGCTTGGAATTCTTATAAAACAATTTGCATAAAAGCTAGTGTAGCCAATTAAAGTCAATTTTCTGTCCTATGGTACAATAATGCCCCAACATCTCTGGGACCTGCACAATTATGTATAAAATGGAATATTTAACAATTATGTACAATAAAACAAGATTAACAGCCAGAATAAATAAAATAGTGTACTAGATTAAGACATATACATTGTATAAGATATATGTACAATCACAACACTGGAATGATACAAAGGATTGACATGTACAAATAATCTGAACACAACCAAACTATGGATACTACAAAACAGATTTCTAACGATATGTTTTCACGAGGTAACGATACATCTCATCATCTGAATAAAATATTATTTATCCAACAGGAACTGTTTCATTAACTTGGTGAAGATTCTTTAATTTCCCAGTGGAATCAATTCAGCCATGAGATATTGTTTGTTATAAAATTTGTTGTCAACCTATGTTTTCATAAGCATGAACTTAACCATTTGAATTTTAGAATAAGTAGACCGAAGTTTCTCAAGTATTGAACTAAAATGAGTTAGATTATATAGAACCTTTGAAAACAAATATTGTAGAGGACAGCTGTCCCTGGTTGACAATCACTGTGCCCGTATAATTATAATTTAACATGCTACCACTACACTAATCTCAATATCCCAGGTTAAAATCAGGAGTAACATCTTTACACGTTCCTGTGTATCTCATGGTGTGATATCATTAGGATTATATAAAGGATTTCTTATTTCTATATTACAATATAAGTATTGATATATGATGGAAGACAGTAATTTATTAACGGTAGGTAGCTGCCATTTAATAACTACAAATTACTATCGTATTGTGACTAAAAGCAACGACATCAAGCCATCTTGTTGAAACAAAGTCTTCTACACTTGTTATATAAATTGAAATATTACTATAATGAATTCTCTTAAATCTAGATTGATCACTTCCCATTATCTGATTTGGAAATATTCAAAAACCATTCAAATATTGAAAATGCACACAAGTTTTCTTCTTTTCTTGAAATATTTAGCATTTTTCCAAATAAATAAATGAATAAATAAAACAAACAGGATATCATTTTTTTTATGTTGAAATTATCTGACATGCCACTTTTACTTTATTCTCTGAAAAAAAGTGAAAACCTTCCTCCTATGTAAATCTACCATTTTGTATATATGTAAACTTATGTAGCTCCTCCAGTTAGCACTATAGTTACTGAGTAACACATCTCCAGCCTGATATCGTGTATGTTCTGTCTATAATTAATTACAATGGATCCAGGGTAGTTTAAATTACACCTGAAGGATGCTCAAAACATAATAAACCTACACTGAAGATCTAGTTTACACAATGCTTCGGTTTTAAATGTCCAGATGTTTTAACATTGTTTGAATTTCAGACCAAAGAATATCTTTTCTGGTTGTAATGAATATAGACAACTTAATAACACCTACCCACCTGTACAAAATCCAACACATTCTCACACAACCCAAATTTCTTTACATTTTCAGATGTTTTTCCTTCAATGAATCTAACATTTGTAATATATCAATGTAATGTGAATATTTTGACAGTAAACCTAAACAGAGAAATTATATGGTTTGACTTGTACTTGACCTACTGCTGGAAACAGATTAGCCAATCTTCAGGAGAACTACCGTAAACCCTTGTAGAGACAATCACTTCAACAAAAGGGAAATGTAAATGCAGGTGTCCACCAGTTTTTGTCTAGGTGTGTCTGTTAATCAAATATAATTTGTTCTGTTAACAGGTGTGAAGATCAAGAGAAAGGTACACATGTATTGTCTAAAACTCTCAAGGTGTGGGATTTAAATTTCAGTAAAAAACCTGGCTACTACATTTAATTACTAAAATTACGGTAATTACTGATGTAACTTCTGTGCGACAATAATTCACACCAGATTTACATAGCAGTACTACTACAGCACATGTAGGACACTACACCACTGTTAAAGTGATAGTAAAAATCTCATCCATGAATCTCCAGAGTTTAGCTTTACAAACACTGACCAATCACACATAGCCTCGCAAATATTACATCAATCTCGCATATCTTTAGACACCGACCAATCACACACATTCTTACACTGACCTTTTGACATCAACCAATCACACACATTCTTACACTGACCAATCATATACTCTAAATGTCACACATCGCTGCCCTGTACATAGCTTGCCATTTGTTGATGACTTCCATATGCTGAGTTGTCATGACGATATGATTTATTGCTGTAGTGGGGATGGTCTGGTCGATACTGCTGATGGACACCATAGAGATTCCTTACAGCAGCCTGGCCAGGATAAGATTTCTGTGGTGATACCCCATAAGGTGAATCTGTGATGTTATTGGCAGCCTCCATTAATTTCTTTTGGTACCAGTTTTGAACTTGTGATTCAATAGCTTCCCTATGTTGGTCGCGTGATGCTGGTATTTGCTGGTAATCTGCATGGTTGACAGGTATGTATGGAGAGTTGGAGTGGCTATGACCAGGTGTGGAGATGCTATGATCAGTACTGAATGATGATGATGGCGTACCACTATTAAATGAAGGAGACCCACTATTGCTGGGGGCATTTCCTGGACGGAGACGGTTGCCAAATATTTTGCTGCTATAGCCACTGTCTGGATTACTACTAGAGTCCTCTTTGTTGTAGGCATTTGGATAGTTTGATATGTTCCTCAGGTTATCCTTGTCTGCCTCCTCACCGCCACTGACAGGTGTCCGACATACACGGAGGTCTCCACGCGGTGAGTTTCCACTATTACTAGAGCCACAAGTCCTGTCTAACAAGTTCGACTCTGACTTGCTCAGATTCCTTGATCTGTCCACATTTTCTATTAGATCATAATCATCATTATGTCCGACCCTGTTCATATTGTATGTGCTATGATACGGTGCAGGACTTCCATCCCCACGTCGTGTTACATCCTTCCCTGACATATAGGTGTTTTCCACAGATGTGCGGCCTGTGTTTATCCGGTTCTTATCTCCAATAGGAGTCATCCTGTAGTGATCATCATTCATGCTGACATAATGACTCTCTGGAGTGCGTAACACACGACCAGTATACTGACCATAACTGGCTGTACCAGAACCTGCTTGCTGACTAACAGGTGTTTGAGGTTTACTTTGTCCTCTCATCACATAAGAAGACCACTGACCTTGACCAATTTTGGATGAATGACCTTGGCTATTTGACACACAATTTGTATTTTGAGCACTAGAAATCTTTCCTTCAAGGTCATTAGGTGTGCGGTTCATTGACCTTTGACCCATGGGTGTCCTATCTGTACTTCCGCCTCTCTTTGCCATTTCATGAGCAGATGTAATCCCATTCTCCTCCAAGAGCAGCTCATCAGAAGATCGTGTCCTATGTATCATCGGAGAATTTTTGGGTTGCATGGACATATACATATCATCCTTATTTTTCACAAAATAACCATACATATCACTCTCCTTAGAAATATTTTCTTTTTTGAGAAATTCTGGTTTTTCTGGTGGTTTTGGAACTTGTCGAAGAGAGGGATTTGTCCGTGAAGACCCATATACACTGTCTTTCACCACAGAAACAGAACCATAAGGATTGATTTCCTTCACCCCTGATCCACACGATCCCTCGTTTTTTGTATGAGAGCTCGGATGTTGCTGCTCACAACTGCCCGAGTTACCATTAGATCCCACCATATTATCCCCCACACTTGTTGGTCGAGACTTTGTATCTTTTTCTGGGTACCCAAATGTTGAGAAAGTGGGTTTAGAAGTAGCCCCTTTCCCAATGCCGATGCTGGACTGTTGGCTCCCCAGGGGATCCTGTCCAGCACCGGAGGAATTGGAAGTTGGATTATTTCCTGTGCTTGTGTTTGAGGACCCCCTTTCGGGAAAACTCTGTCTCTGCCTTGTTCTTTGAAATCCATCTGAGGAATCCGTTTGATTTGGCCTAGAGGTGGAAGATTCCCTTTGACTTGACCGTTGGTACATAGGATCAACATGGTGATGTTGACTGTACCTCTGACTTGACCGTTGAAAACCCTCTGGTTCAGTAGTTTGGCTCCTGACCATGGCTCCCCTTTTCAGACCACCAACAGTTTCATATGGACTAGAATCATAAGATTTAGGAGTGCTGTGTGTGAGGGGGCTTGATTCTCGCTTTACAGGAGAATTTTCGAATTGTTCTGAACTTTGCCATGAATGTGAGTGGGGGATTCGTTTAGGGATAGCACCTTGACTGTCATACATTTTAATATCAGTGGAGTCAACTGGACTTTGAACAAATGGTGTGCGACTGGTCGACGCAGTACTTGGCGAAAGAAGATTGAAAGTCACTCTAGACCCCCGTGTATTCTCCTCACGTGAACTGTCTCCTTTTGGAGCTGAATGTACCTGAATTTGTCCAACTTGCACACGACCTTGGCTTGAGTATATTGTACCCTTACCTAGGTTGCTTTCTCGAGCTATTCTCTCATTTTGTCTCTTTTTCCCTTCCTGAACATCATTCTGCCATTCCCGCAGCTGTTGCATAGCTGCTTGGCGTGATTCATAAAATTCACGTTTCTTGTGTTTTACACTATAATCTGACTGAGACAGTGTCTCATCAGAACGAGACCGAAACAATCTTCCGTTGGCATTTTCATGAATGTCTGTAAAAAAGTTTTTGCTGGGAAGAGCCGAATCGTCATGGTGATGACTCAGACAATGTCCATATGAGGATAATTTGGCCTCTAGCCAATCCTCCACTTCCATACGCGTTTGTTCTGTATATTTTTTTAACATAAAATTTCTCTCTTCCTGTAACTTCATCGAAATTCTGTCATTGCAGTTTCTCTCTTCACGCTGAAGTCTCTCTTTGGTGAGTTTGTCAATAGCATACACTTGTTGGGCGGTGCGCTTGTCCAGCTGGTCAAGACGTTGATGTAACACCTGATTGGATGCATCAATGTGTTCATAAATGTTGTCACTGTTCTTGGTGACATGTTGCTCTAGTTTGTGTAAGGCTGGTCCACACTGACACAGGGGCGTGTAACCAATAGGGCCCTGTAATGGAGAAGGATATATATCATCTGTCAGCTACTCAGAGTCCAGCAGTAGATTGTTATCTGAAACTTTCTGATCACATCTCAACATCACTAAGACCAGGGAAGGATTTGTAATTTTTGTTCCTATTCAAATCTGCTGTCTGCAGCTTACAAAACATTTCAATAGAATACAGGATCAACTTGTATGAAATACTGTGACATAGCCACAGAAAACAGAACTTACAGCAGACAGCAAACTTCTTACAGTAATCAGAATAGTAAGTTAGATGTGTACCTGTTTGATGTTTCCGGCTAGATCCCTGTAATACTGACTGCCTGGTCGAGGGATATACTGACTGAAGAAACCCTGAACCTTGTCTTTTTCACTCTGGGACATCTGTTGACCTTGAGGAAGCCCTGTCTTGCCATCTTCTTTATCTTTGTCCTGTTATATACATCCAATTAATCAATTACTATAACTATTTCAAAAATACTACTGTAACACGTCCTCCCACTACTGTAACACTTCCTCCCACTGCTTAACACGTCCTTCCACTACTGAAACACAACCTCCTCCCACTACTGTAACACGTTCTCCCACTACTGTAAGACGTCCCCCCACTACTGTAACACGTCCTCCCACTACTGTAACACGTCCTCCCAATACTGTAACACGTTCTCCCATTACTTTAACACGTTCTCCCATTACTGTAACACGTCCCCCCACTACTGTAACACGTCCTCCCACTACTGTAACACATCCTCCCACTACTGTAACACGTCCTCCCACTACTGTAACACGTCCCCCCACTACTGTAACACTTCCTCCCACTGCTTAACACGTCCTTCCACTACTGACACAACCTCCTCCCACTACTGTAACACGTTCTCCCACTACTGTAACACATCCCCCCACTACTGTAACACGTCCTTCCACTACTGTAACACGTCCTCCCAATACTGTAACACATCCCCCCACTACTGTAACACGTCCCCCCACTACTGTAACACGTCCTCCCACTACTGTAACACATCCTCCCAATACTGTAACACATCCCCCCACTACTGTAACACGTTCTCCCACTACTGTAACACATCCTCCCACTGCTTAACACGTCCTTCCACTGCTTAACACGTCCTTCCACTACTGAAACACAACCTCCTCCCACTACTGTAACACGTTCTCCAACTACTGTAACACATCCCCCCACTACTGTAACACGTCCTCCCACTACTGTAACACGTCCTCCCAATACTGTAACACATCCCCCCACTACTGTTACACATCCCCCCACTACTGTAACACGTCCTCCCCCCACTACTGTAACACGTCCCCCCACTACTGTAACACTTCCTCCCACTGCTTAACACGTCCTTCCACTACTGAAACACAACCTCCTCCCACTACTGTAACACGTTCTCCCACTACTGTAACACATCCCCCCACTACTGTAACACGTCCTCCCACTACTGTAACACGTCCTCCCAATACTGTAACACATCCCCCCACTACTGTAACACGTCCCCCCACTACTGTAACACGTTCTCCCACTACTGTAACACATCCTCCCACTACTGTAACACATTCTCCCAATACTGTAACACATCCCCCCACTACTGTAACACGTTCTCCCACTACTGTAACACATCCCCCCACTACTGTAACACGTTCTCCCACTACTGTAACACATCCTCCCACTACTGTAACACATCCTCCCACTGCTGTAACACGTCCTCCCACTACTGTAACACATCCTCCCACTGCTGTAACACGTCCCCCCACTACTGTGACACGTCCTCCCACTGTTATATGTTTTTTAATTGTATATAAAGAAGACAACTTTAAAAGATTACTGAATAACAGAAACATTTTAACTGTATCAGGTACTTGCTACTTTGATACAAATCTAGGACAACCTGAAAACCAGAGGAACTTTGTAAAATAAAATTTAAATAAATATCCAGAATAACTGAGACATACAAATACCTTCTTCTTTTTCTTAAAGAAGAAAAACTTGGATTTCTCCTTCGAGGGTTTGTCTGTTTTGATTGGTGCATCCTCATCTGGCACTACCACTGGCCCTTCCAAATTATTGCCTGGTACATCCTTAAAGTTGACCTCCTTCTGGCTCTTAGGAGTCTTAGACTAAAGACGATAAAAATATGTTCAGTTTCTACAGCTATATGGTATAAAGGCAAAATTTCACAGAAGCAAAAAAAATTACAAATTTCCTTGTTCATGTATAATGAGCTAGATTTTTATCCCATTGAAGATTTACTTTCCAAAGTAAAATAAAAACAAAGAAACATTATCATTATTATAACATTTTTAATGGCCAGTCAACACATAGAAGGTCATTAGGACCATCAAACGGTAAAACACACATTGACAAAAATGAAAATGTCTATTTTTTTTAACTGTATTACTTTTTTTCTTTAAATAGACAACCCGTGTTTAATTTCCCTAGTGCCATAAGAGAAGATCTATATACAAGGACATTGTCTAATCTAATAACCTGTGTATAAGGACCTACCCTTGAGAAAGATGTAACAATGAGGATGATCTCCGGATGTTCCTTTCGCCTGGCCACATCAATGGCAGTCTCTGTTTGCTACAATGAAAGAAAGTCACTTAATTCATTTTATCTGACAATTCCTGATCAGTAATTGTTTTGTGAGAGTGTTATATGTTATCAAGCTTTACCTGTATTTTACCTGACAATTCCTGATCAGTAATTGTTTTGTGAGAGTGTGTGTTATATGTTATCAAGCTTTACCTGTATTTTACCTGACAATTCCTGATCAGTTATTGTTTTGTGAGAGTGTTATATGTTATCAAGCGAGACAATTCCTGATCAGTATTGTTTTGTGAGAGTGTGTGTTATATGTTATCAAGCTTTACCTGTATTTTACCTGACAATTCCTGATCAGTAATTGTTTTGTGAGAGTGTGTGTTATATGTTATCAAGCTTTACCTGTATTTTGTTTTGTGAGAGTGTTATATGTTATCAAGCTTTACCTGTATTTTACCTGACAATTCCTGATCAGTAATTGTTTTGTGAGAGTGTGTGTTATATGTTATCAAGCTTTACCTGTATTTTACCTGACAATTCCTGATCAGTAATTGTTTTGTGAGAGTGTGTGTTATATGTTATCAAGCTGTACCTGTATTTTACCTGACAATTCCTGATCAGTAATTGTTTTGTGAGAGTGTTATATGTTATCAAGCTCTACCTGTATTTTACCTGACAATTCCTGATCAGTAATTGTTTTGTGAGAGTGTGTGTTATATGTTATCAAACTGTATTTTATCTGTGCTATGGTGGTACTATCGATATGAATTCATTCCGACATTTTACTGCCTTAAATCCTTTATCTAATACACTATCACACCCCCAATCGGTACATTATCCAGGGACATGTTTCAATATCAAAGTGGTCTGCCTTTCACTTATCTTCCACAATAAGTTATTGACTTAACAAGCACACTTGAATGTAAAGTAGATGTCAATAAATTGAATTGATGACAATATTTGAAGTCAGGGCTAAACTGTCGCAATAAACTTTTCGAACTGTCCACAATTTTATCATCAAATCAAGTTTATATACAAGAATATTTTTTATAACAATTGAAAATTCCAAAGCCTTTCATATAAAGTAAAATTTCTTTTGATTTATCAACTTACACAAATCATTGTCCTGATGATGAAACAGAAAAATCAATTTCTAAATTGCACAAATTCATTATTTTCTTCGATCAAAATTTTTAAAAATTACCGTTTATTCATTTCTTCTTAAAAAATTTTTTACTGAGTGGATTTATAAAAAAATAAAACAAAAAACAAAAACAGAAAAAGAAAGTTAGGTAAAAACTTTGTCCATAATAATTGGTTGGTTGACAGGTTTTCCATCACCTGTGTCTGGTGAGACGAATGTCAGTGTTGTGGTAACATGATTAATAACTTACTAATATCATATTTTATATGTAAGAGGAATTCCGATACATTTTCCCATAATGCTATTCTCCAGGACGTTGTGATCCACTTAGTAACTATGGGACAAACAGCTGGAGACTTGTACATTTCTGTGTAACTATGAGACAAACAGATGTAGCTGGAGACTTGTACATTTCTGTGTAACTATGGGACAAACAGCTGGAGACTTGTACATTTCTGTGTAACTATGGGACAAACAGATGTAGCTGGAGACTTGTACATTTCTGTGTAACTATGGGACAAACAGCTGGAGACTTGTACATTTCTGTGTAACTATGGGACAAACAGATGTAGCTGGAGACTTGTACATTTCTGTGTAACTATGAGACAAAACAGATGTAGCTGGAGACTTGTACATTTCTGTGTAACTATGAGACAAACAGATGTAGCTGGAGACTTGTACATTTCTGTGTAACTATGAGACAAAACAGATGTAGCTGGAGACTTGTACATTTCTGTGTAACTATGAGACAAAACAGATGTAGCTGGAGACTTGTACATTTCTGTGTAACTATGAGACAAAACAGATGTAGCTGGAGACTTGTACATTTCTGTGTAACTATGAGACAAAACAGATGTAGCTGGAGACTTGTACATTTCTGTGTAACTATGAGACAAACAGATGTAGCTGGAGACTTGTACATTTCTGTGTAACTATGAGACAAAACAGATGTAGCTGGAGACTTGTACATTTCTGTGTAACTATGAGACAAACAGATGTAGCTGGAGACTTGTACATTTCTGTGTAACTATGAGACAAACAGATGTAGCTGGAGACTTGTACATTTCTGTGTAACTATGAGACAAAACAGATGTAGCTGGAGACTTGTACATTTCTGTGTAACTATGAGACAAAACAGATGTAGCTGGAGACTTGTACATTTCTGTGTAACTATGAGACAAAACAGATGTAGCTGGAGACTTGTACATTTCTGTGTAACTATGAGACAAAACAGATGTAGCTGGAGACTTGTACATTTCTGTGTAACTATGAGACAAACAGATGTAGCTGGAGACTTGTACATTTCTGTGTAACTATGAGACAAAACAGATGTAGCTGGAGACTTGTACATTTCTGTGTAACTATGAGACAAACAGATGTAGCTGGAGACTTGTACATTTCTGTGTAACTATGAGACAAACAGATGTAGCTGGAGACTCGTACATTTCTGTGTAACTATGAGACAAAACAGATGTAGCTGGAGACTCGTACATTTCTGTGTAACTATGAGACAAACAGATGTAGCTGGAGACTTGTACATTTCTGTGTAACTATGGGACAAATAGATGTAGCTGGAGACTTGTACATTTCTGTGTAACTATGAGACAAACAGATGTAGCTGGAGACTTGTACATTTCTGTGTAACTATGAGACAAACAGATGTAGCTGGAGACTTGTACATTTCTGTGTAACTATGAGACAAACAGATGTAGCTGGAGACTTGTACATTTCTGTGTAACTATGAGACAAACAGATGTAACTGGAGACTTGTACATTTCTGTGTAACTATGAGACAAACAGATGTAGCTGGAGACTTGTACATTTCTGTGTAACTATGAGACAAACAGATGTAGCTGGAGACTTGTACATTTCTGTGTAACTATGAGACAAACAGATGTAGCTGGAGACTTGTACATTTCTGTGTAACTATGAGACAAACAGATGTAGCTGGAGACTTGTACATTTCTGTGTAACTATGAGACAAACAGATGTAGCTGGAGACTTGTACATTTCTGTGTAACTATGAGACAAACAGATGTAGCTGGAGACTTGTACATTTCTGTGTAACTATGAGACAAACAGATGTAGCTGGAGACTTTGTACATTTCTGTGTAACTATGAGACAAATAGATGTAGCTGGAGACTTGTACATTTCTGTGTAACTATGAGACAAACAGATGTAAACTTGTACATTTCTGTGTAACTATGAGACAAACAGATGTAGCTGGAGACTTGTACATTTCTGTGTAACTATGAGACAAACAGATGTAGCTGGAGACTTGTACATTTCTGTGTAACTATGAGACAAACAGATGTAGCTGGAGACTTGTACATTTCTGTGTAACTATGAGACAAACAGATGTAGCTGGAGACTTGTACATTTCTGTGTAACTATGAGACAAACAGATGTAGCTGGAGACTTGTACATTTCTGTGTAACTATGAGACAAACAGATGTAGCTGGAGACTTGTACATTTCTGTGTAACTATGAGACAAACAGATGTAGCTGGAGACTTGTACATTTCTGTGTAACTATGAGACAAACAGATGTAACTGGAGACTTGTACATTTCTGTGTAACAAATCACTAATCTGTTCTTATTTTCTATGTCTACAGAGAAACAATTTATCTAAATTCAAACACACCTGTAGTCCTATTCACTGTGATTTCATACCTATTAATCAATATCCACTAGGCACTTACAAACATAGATTTAAATTAAATCACCAGTCAGCACATTGAAGGTAAATGGAATGAAGCTAAGCTTACGATTGATAAGAAAAGACAACAAAATAATTATCTTCACAGCTGTTTTCTACCTTTACCATGATAATGACTCCTAAATCACAATGAGTTATTTTTAAAAATTACTGAATTATGAACTTTTTGAGTCAATACTTAAACTCTCATTTTTAAAAGTTTCTACGAGGGACAAAGTGCATGAACAATACTTATGACTTGACAACATCATGATTTACGCAAAGTAACAAAACATCCTTATTCCCTGATTATAAAAGATTTTTAATTGAAAAGTTTAAATCTGATTTAATTAATTTTAATTTGACAGTTATATACATGATTTCTTTTTTTCTCGGATAAATATGATAATTACATTTCCTTACATCATTATTAGTTTTAATTAGTACTTGTTTCTTTATCATTTACATAATCTGATAAGGATTCATCACAATTGTAAAATCACTCATTTCATCAATTTTTCAGGTCTGTCTCCACAACCCTTTAAAGCTTTGTGTTATGTAATAATCAAATATTGATTTATCAGAAAAATCATGATCGATTGGTCATAGAGTTAAAACGACTAACCATCAATCAAATTGATTCATCTCACCAACAGTATGAATCACTGTTACACATTTAAAACCAGGAGTCATGAGACATTATCTTCCTAACATTAAATAAAACAGACTCTGGTCTGTTACTGACACTTCTGAGGCACTTCTGACAAAATATTGCTTGAAAGGTCAAAGATTTAGGTATTCCAGTCTAACTCCAAATACTCTGTGAGATAAATGTACAAGAATTTAATACCTTAATATATATAGAAACCACAGCTGGCACTTTAGATATCCTAGACTTTGCTTTTAAACACTTATAGAATTCTGTGTTTGTCATCCTTCAGGAATCATCAGTACATTGCTAAATGACAGAGACTGATCCACAGTAAATACCTTCTAGCAACTTACAACCAACACTAGGTACATGACAGTACTTTTAGGTAGAAATATCCACTTATATCACTATATATCAATAAACTCTGACAGTAATTCATAAAATTTATTTTAGTCGATAAACAAAAAACGGGATCTTCAATTGTACCGGGGTATCAAAAGACTAGTACAAAATGTCGATCAACAACATGTGCGGAGATTCCTGCGAGCGACATCAATTTGTTTTTTTATTTCTGATTTCTACTTGATTAGACTCTGGAGTAACAGCCCAGGGGTCAGCACTGTTATAGATTTTATTTGCCTCCAGTTGGAGACAATCACTTTTTAACATCACAGAAATACAGGTAACGGTTACATGTTCCTTACAACTATGGACAATGTCACAGTATCATTGATGTACCAAACTGCCCGGGGGGTCAGGAATAATGTTTTATACAGGTCATTAGTATAGACATTCATCCCCAGGGGTCGGGCAGCATGTTTTTATATTGGTGATTTACCTGGTAAAACAGCTATTTAAAATACCTTGAGGTTGTGCAGCATATTTTATATGGACGATATATTCTTTTGACATCAGATGCCCTGTACCTAACAATCAACTGACTTGTCTTTTGAGACAGCGTCAGACTTAATACAGGATTATAAAGAAAAACTTGGTTAAATACTCAAACCATGTTTTTTTACCATAATCATTAAAATGGCTTACTGTGTACTCCATCTGATTGTAGTTTTCATAAAATTTATTTTCTCGAATATGTCCTGTTTTTTAAATGAACAAGGACATAATTGTTTTGTCATCAAGTCTGACATCTGTGTTGTTTTACAGAAATCCAGTACGTTGATTATATAGCCCATGTTGATCCTTACCTTATTCTTTATAAAAACGTCTATCCCAGCTTCTACTAAAAGTTTGGCAATCTTACGTCGCTTCAGTGCTGCTGCAATATGTAATGCTGTGTCCCCGTTCTAGGTAATAGAAAAAGGGTTAATTAATATCACACAACTATGTCTCAGACATTGTTTAAAGACAATAATTATTACATCAGGATTTTGTCGCAAAAGGAGAGATGACTCCTTTTCATAATTTTTTACAGTAGAAGACAACAAACAAAAATAAAAGATTTGACCAGTAGTTCAAAAAGTTCAATTTCTTATGACACAATGACTTTTACTCTTGTACGAAATAGCCCAAGATGTAAGTACACTACTATCAATTAAGTCTAAAGCACTTGTCAAGATCACTACCAAATTCTTCCATATATAAATCACAATATAGAGCTATTTACCCAGTAAGTAATGTATCATATTCTTATCACCTCTTGACTTTTCCTCATTTTAATAAATTTCACATCTGATTCTTTCCCTAACAATGATTTTAGAAAATAAAAATACAAAATAGATTCACATCCAAAAGAAATGCTCTATTAACTCCCTCTGCTGGATACAAAAACTCATAATAATATTTAAAATGGTTTTCTTTTCTCCCGAGTACAATGAACAAAGAGAAGAATACATTTTGTACAACAATGCTGTCCCTCATTGTCTGATATTGATATTTATCATTCTGTCCCATTTAATAGAAAAATTCACAGCAATCCAGATTCATCACAGCACATTTTTTTTAAAATGATATAACAGAATTAAAACTAAAATATTTCTCATTTTTTCCATATAATCATCAACATACCATACAATATTTATTGTAAAAAATTTGTCATACAAAACTCCCTTCATATATCACATTTTTATTGTCTGCACCATCAAGTCTATTGTTTGATTCAGTTTGAGTTATGAAAACCAGCCGAGAGCCTATCATATGTCCCAGTATACAATTTATGATCCACGTTAGATTACACAATTCAATGAAATTTGATCACTTAGCCTGACAAAGTGTCGTTTAACTTTTCCTGCCCATAACTCTGATGCTTTTGTCTGCTGTTTGTTGTTTATTGATTAAATTAAATGGTCACTCAGCTGTGAACACTATGAACTTTTACAAACTTCCTTTTTTAAACAAGTGGCATAGAAAAGATTTGTATGGTAGAACGGTATGAAGTGTTTTGTGGTCTACCTGCTGACAAATTCACTGATGATGATGTAGACTGAACAAATTATACAGCTGATCAATGAAGTAAAGACGTGAAGTAATTGATGTTCTATGATATCATCACAACAACACAACCCCACACAGTCTACGAACAAAGACATCAATTTACACCAATTATAGTTCTGCGTCTGTTCAACTGATCAAAATGCTGAGAGGTTATCACCCGACCAGATTTTTTCTAGCTCTGCCATAAATCTCTGTTAAGTTATCAATATATAATTTGTGTTTTCCTCTGAAGTTAGTTTGAAGGTTATTTAACAGTCCCTGGAGAGTCTTTCACAACCTGTTACATGTTTCTCTTGACCTTGAGATCAAATGATCACATTTGATTTTTTTTTAACTACCACTGCCTGGTTGATTATACAAGGATACCATTTGTAGTGATGTTTAAAACTGAGATAACGAAGGTAACTGGTAATGATGCTGGTAATGATTAATTACAGGTAGCTGGTTATGATTAATTACAGGTAACTGGTAATGATTAATTACAGGTAACTGGTAATGATTAATTACAGGTAACTAGACAATAATACAGGTAAGAGGAAGTTACAGATATATTACTTAATACACCTGACATCATTGCTTACCAGGTATTCAGTCGTTTACCAAAATCAATAAATAACCAGAGGGATCTTGGCGCCCACCATTTGAGGATCTATTTTCATTTCTTGAAGATTTGTTTATTTTTTTTTTGTTTGTTACAGGTGTTGTAAATGTTCATGAACTGGTCTTCATTGAATGTACTCAATGATGGCACAAGATATTTTTATTAAGCACTTATTAGCAAATATCATTTGAAAAAGATCCCAAAGTATTATTAGATAGCAGTCAGTTACAGGTGGATAATGGACAATATGCTTGTGCTGTATTACTGTTGACATCCAAGATGGCGGCCTGTGGGCCACCTTGATTTCAAATCAGTCCAAAAAAGGTACAATGCACAACTAGGGACCAAAGGAAACCAATATCTATGAAATATCTGAAGGATCCATCCAGTACTTTCCAAGAAATAGCAGTAACAAACTTTTACATCCAAAATCCAAGATGGCAGCCTGTGGGCCACCTTGATTTCAAATCAGTCCAAAAAAGGTACAATGCACAACTAGGGACCAAGGGGAAACTGCATATGAAATTTGAGAAAGATCCAAAAAGTACTTTCCCAGAAATAGCGGTAACAAACTTTTACTTCCAAAATCCAAGATGGCCACCTGTCGGCCATCTTGCATTCGAATCAGTCCAACAAAGGTACAATGCACAACTAGGGACCAAGGGGAACCTGTATATGAAATTTGAGAAAGATCCATTTGGCACTTTTCCAGAAATAGCAGTAACAAGAATTGTTTACGGACGGACGGACAACGGACCACGGACGCAGGGCGATTTGAATACCCCACCATCTGATGATGGTGGGCTAAAAAAGAAGATATAAGTGAAAGATAACCTAATTAATATTTTGTGGTGACTAAGCTCCTCAGACAACAATTTCCAAGAGTTACAATCTACCACAGGGACCCTACATCCTCTGTTAGTGATAATGTACCACAGAGACCCTACATTCTCTGTTAGTGATAATGTACCACAGAGACCCTACATTCTCTGTCTGTGATAATGTACCACAGGACTCTACATCCTCTGTCAGTGATAATGTACCACAGAGACCCTACATTCTCTGTCTGTGATAATGTACCACAGGACCCTACATCCTCTGTCAGTGATAATGTACCACAGGGACCCTACATCCTCTGTCAGTGATAATGTACCACAGAGACCCTACATCCTCTGTTAGTGATAATGTACCACAGAGACCCTACATCCTCTGTCTGTGATAATGTACCACAGGACTCTACATCCTCTGTCAGTGATAAGGTACCACAGGGACCCTACATCCTCTGTCAGTGATAATGTACCACAGAGATCTACATCCTCTGTCAGTGATAACGTATCACAGAGACCCTACATCCTCTGTCAATGATAACGTACCACAGGACTCTACATCCTCTGTCAGTGATAACGTACCACAGAGACCCTACATCCTCTATCAGTGATAACGTACCACAGGACTCTACATCCTCTGTCAGTGATAACGTACCACAGGGACCCTACATCCTCTGTCAATGATAACGTACCACAGAGACCCTACATCCTCTGTCAGTGATAACGTACCACAGGACTCTACATCCTCTGTCAGTGATAACGTACCACAGAGACCCTACATTCTCTGTTAGTGATAATGTACCACAGAGACCCTACATTCTCTGTTAGTGATAATGTACCACAGAGACCCTACATTCTCTGTCTGTGATAATGTACCACAGGACTCTACATCCTCTGTCAGTGATAATGTACCACAGAGACCCTACATTCTCTGTTAGTGATAATGTACCACAGAGACCCTACATTCTCTGTCTGTGATAATGTACCACAGGACTCTACATCCTCTGTCAGTGATAATGTACCACAGAGACCCTACATTCTCTGTCTGTGATAATGTACCACAGGACCCTACATCCTCTGTCAGTGATAATGTACCACAGGGACCCTACATCCTCTGTCAGTGATAATGTACCACAGAGACCCTACATCCTCTGTTAGTGATAATGTACCACAGAGACCCTACATCCTCTGTCTGTGATAATGTACCACAGGACTCTACATCCTCTGTCAGTGATAAGGTACCACAGGGACCCTACATCCTCTGTCAGTGATAATGTACCACAGAGATCTACATCCTCTGTCAGTGATAACGTATCACAGAGACCCTACATCCTCTGTCAATGATAACGTACCACAGGACTCTACATCCTCTGTCAGTGATAACGTACCACAGAGACCCTACATCCTCTATCAGTGATAACGTACCACAGGACTCTACATCCTCTGTCAGTGATAACGTACCACAGGGACCCTACATCCTCTGTCAATGATAACGTACCACAGAGACCCTACATCCTCTGTCAGTGATAACGTACCACAGGACTCTACATCCTCTATCAGTGATAACGTACCACAGGACTCTACATCCTCTGTCAGTGATAACGTACCACAGGGACCCTACATCCTCTGTTAGTGATAACGTACCACAGAGACCCTACATCCTCTGTCAGTGATAATGTATCACAGAGACCCTACATCCTCTGTCAGTGATAACGTACCACAGAGACCCTACATCCTCTGTTAGTGATAACGTACCACAGAGACCCTACATCCTCTGTCAGTGATAACGTATCACAGAGACCCTACATCCTCTGTCAGTGATAACGTACCACAGAGACCCTACATCCTCTGTCAGTGATAACGTACCACAGAGACCCTACATCCTCTGTCAGTGATAACGTACCACAGAGACCCTACATCCTCTGTCAGTGATAACGTACCACAGAGACCCTACATCCTCTGTCAGTGTTAACATACCACAGAGACCCTACATCCTCTGTTAGTGATAACGTACCACAGAGACCCTACATCCTCTGTCAGTGATAATCTAACACAGAGACCCTACATCCTCTGTCAGTGATAACGTACCACAGAGACCCTACATCCTCTGTTAGTGATAACGTACCACAGAGACCCTACATCCTCTGTCAGTGATAACGTATCACAGAGACCCTACATCCTCTGTCAGTGATAACGTACCACAGAGACCCTACATCCTCTGTCAGTGATAACGTACCACAGAGACCCTACATCCTCTGTCAGTGATAACGTACCACAGAGACCCTACATCCTCTGTCAGTGATAACGTACCACAGAGACCCTACATCCTCTGTCAGTGTTAACATACCACAGAGACCCTACATCCTCTGTTAGTGATAACGTACCACAGAGACCCTACATCCTCTGTCAGTGAATTTATATGTTCAACAAAAAAACATTTTTCAAGAAGAGTACCGTATATGAATAAAGAATTAGTTAAGTTTGCTATCAATATCAGATTATCCTCATATACCTTACTGACCAGAATCACCACTCACCTTATTTTGTAAGTTCAAACAACATCTAGCACTAATGAGAATACGTGTGACCCCAGCATGTCCATATCGAGCTGCCGTGTGGATAGAGGAATCACCATACTGGAAATTAAACATACATAATACAGTTGGCTGGTCAGTCTCCTCTTATTGCTAAATGGAACAAATGTGGTTGGTTACAGGTTTACTGTCTCCATGTCACTTCCTTTAACTAGGGGTTGTTTCATCAATGAACCTCAGAATTGGAAAGACACAAGCCACTCTTTCATGGAAGGATACAACTCACCCCCTCATGTAAGGATACAAGTCACCCTTTCATGGAAGGATACAAGCTACCCTTTCATGGAAGGATACAAGTCACCCTTTCATGTAAGGATAAAAGTCACCCTTACATGGAAGGATACAAGTCACCCCCTCATGTAAGGATACAAGCCACCCTTTCATGGAAGGATACAAGTCACCCCCTCATGTAAGGATACAAGCCACCCTTTCATGGAAGGATACAAGTCACCCTTTCATGTAAGGATACAAGTCACTCTTTCAGGTAAGGATACAAGTCACCCTTTCATGGAAGGATACAAGTCACCCTTTCATGTAAGGATAAAAGTCACCCTTACATGGAAGGATACAAGTCACCCCCTCATGTAAGGATACAAGCCACCCTTTCATGGAAGGATACAAGTCACCCCCTCATGTAAGGATACAGGTCACCCCCTCATGGAAGGATAGAAGTCACCCTTTCATGAGGAGACATAGGTCACCCCCTCATGAAAGGATAGAAGTCACTCCCCCCAGCAGAAATTATACATGAACAGTGAATCAGTAAAGAAACCTGTAACCAACCAACGATCTATTTATGGAGCCAGAACACAATTAGTTCTATTAAGTTGCATAAGCCCAAATACAGAAAATATTAGCAGTTGTGAAGACTATTTTCTGAATGACACTATGTACTCTTATTGTTGCCTTCTGACACTGAGACTGATAGCACATTATACTTACATTATTTTTGAGGTCTGGGTTACAGCCCCCATACAACAGGACACGTGTACTCTGGTTATGTCCGTTCTGTGCTGCAAGATGTAGGGAAGTGAAGCCCGCCTAATGGAAAACAAACAGTAGACCATGGATAAAGTTTCACCTGTGACAGGTATCCAATTAGGGTCATTTTAAAAGTAAAGGAGAGAAAATGACTGAAAGAGATATATGTCTATCTTTCATAATCAATATATCGAACAGGATATTTTATCAAAGATTTGAGATTTCTTAATCAATCTACACATTCTATCAGAAGTCTAAAATATAGGTTATGACAAGGGAGATAACCCTACCTTGTTAGTAACTACAACATTACAGTTGTGTTTGATGAGGAGTTCCAGTGCAGCACTGTATCCATTCCAGGCAGCCTCGTGTAGAGCAGTGTTTCCATGCTGTCAAAAAAAGCAGGAAATTTCTTAGTTATTACAACCTTCAAGCTAACTGGTTTACAATACCGATCAATGTTCATGTGTACGAATGTTTTTGTTCATGTGACTATTTTCAGCAGATCTTTACCTCGTCCTGTGTGTCAGCTGACCCTCCCTCCTCTAGTAGGTGGCGGATGACCTCAGTGTGACCTTGAGAAGCAGCTCTGTGTATAGCAGTGTACCCCATCTGTAAGATCAACAACAAATATCTGTAGGAATCATCAAATACATGCAGTGAAATCACCATTTTTTTTGTCCAACCACATATAACTTTCAGTTAGTAATGCAGTAAGTTTTCCAAGTAATTATGTTATGCAGATTGTTAAAATGACTTTCCATAAATGCCCTGATTATTTCTCTCTTGTTATTTCCACACATTTTGTTTATAACTTACCATGCCCGGAATATTTCTCTCTTGTTATTTCCATACATTTTGTTTATAACTTACCTTTGCATGTGATTTAGTATACAATGGCATGATAATGTACAGATAAAATAGCACTTTTTGGTTCAAACTTAACAATCATTCATCATAGTATCATCTGAGATAAGTGGTCTCTTTCCTGTTATTATAGGTAAATAATCATACCACTAAAATTCAATATCATAATATTTTCATATCAGAATCTCAACTGCCAGGTAAGCTGTTCAGGTAAGGTGGCACAGACATGTGTCAGGTAGGAAGTGACATCATGAACCTTTAGGCAGGTGTTAGCTCTGGCTTACCTGGACGAGTTATCTGTACAGGTAAGTATAATCAAAAGTGGAGGAAACAATGAAAAGTTAACAATTTAGATATACCCTAGAAATGTCATGTTAATGGTGCTGTACAGTAAAGTGATTAGTGTTAGTTTGTCTCACCTCACTAACGACTTGTCATCGCTGGATTGATAGAGTCATGTAGTAACAGAGCTATTTACATGAATGGACAAACACTAATTAGGGTTACTAAATACCCCTATATCTGTCATATATTCTATAGAATTAAGTCACAATTCATGTCAGCATGTGTTATCTTTAGAAAAACAAAATAATTACTGATATAAAATGTTGTAAATGTGATTTTCTGACCTAGTATATCAATCCCTAAATATGAAGTCTGTGAATAAACAATACACCACATTAATAGTGATCAATTGTAAATATTAGGAAGGGTTGTGTACAACATGTCCTTATATAAATACTAGGTACTGTATATATATATGTGTGTGTGTATGTCAAATAATACATACAGTTCATTGAGACACCACATATCATCACATTAACGGGGCAAACGATAATTATTGCTGAATGTATAACAAGTTACACCTGCAAGTTTGAATCTTTCACATGCAAATATCAGTATAAGATGTAATTAGTGTCAGAGAGCCTACCATGTAACTCTGAACAATAGCTGATATCTCATTACAGGTAATATTTACATACTTATACAAATGTTAGGTAAGAAAACAAATCTGTTATTATAAATGTTCTATCTAAAATCGTTATAGAAATCTTGGATGTCCCATTTTCATGTCGCACTTCCTCGACTTTCACCCAATCATTTTGTCCATTATACAATGTGTCCTATGGTAGCAATAGATAAATCTGTAGATGGTATCAGTTATTTCTAGTAATACAACAATCATTCTTTACCACATATTCTGTAAAACCCCCCATTTTTTGTACTTAAATGTACTTACACAACCTTTTACGATTCAAATTTAAATCTGTATTTTTAGAGATAACGTTAACTGGCACCAATGTACATTATGTAGATACCCTGTATATAAATCTACCTTACAATCTTACCCATTTTGCGGGCTGTTGGGTTCCTTAATTTACAATTTACCTAGGCCTACAATTATCAAATTCTGATAGTATTCATGAGCAAATGTCAGTTTAAATTCTGTCCTAACTTTTAAAAGTGAATTCAATTTAACCGTCCGATAACATCTTTTCAATTTCCTCTTTTGTCCCTTTTGTTATTGTTTTTTGATGAAATCTTTAAGTTTGCAAATACTCCAATCTCCTGATAGCCTCACTTTGAAGTTCACTACCGTTTTGTGCTTGACACAGAAATCTCACAGAGAAACTTTTTTTACCTCACCACCCTTCACAGAAAATCGCCTACACTGGTGATGATACCCTAAACAGGTTTTCATTCATACAGTGTATGTATAAAGACAAGATTTAACCAAAAAACGCCACCCATCAAAACCCTGTCACAGATTCTATAGATCTGGTATACATTCTACAGACGCTATCTCTGTAAAGCAGCACCATTTTCATGGTGATTTTATTCAGATGGCTTTCTGTTGACAGCAAATTACGTCTAAAGAAAGATCTTAGGCTTCTGTGAAACCTTAGTTGTCTGCTTTACACCACGACTGGAAAGTTAATGTGCTTGCCCTGGAAATCTCTGACAACCCATCCTTTCTGATAACTCCATATGATATCACTTATTTCTGAACATGATGAAGGTTAAAGTGAAGGTCAAGGTCACTCACAGATGTATTTGACCCTGGCCATTAAAAATGACACTTTAACTTTGATATGAAGACGTTGCATTACTTACCGAATCCTGCTCGTTCAGAGGGCAACCATGTCCCACCAGGAACTTACACACTTCAACAAACCCTTTCACTGCAGCAAAGTGTAAGGGTGTTCGGCCTTCCTGTAAGCAAAGGAAAGGTCAAGGTTATTCAACCTATCATCAATGGTCCAATCATCCTATATATCTGACATATTGATCTAAACCAACAGCAATATCATTACCAAGGCACTCCTGTCACAGGAAGTGTTCCTGTGCCTGGAATTGATTGCAGGTACAGTATTTCCTGTTTCAGGTGGTAATGACAGGAAACACTAAAGACAAGGAGGATGATTAGGTAAACAAAGACTGCTTTCTGTAACACACATAAAATGTATTAAATTATGTAATAGAGGTCATTAGTTATCTCAATGTATATTGCAGCTAGTATTTTACCAGGGTTACAATTATATAACATCTCCTAAAATATAGCAAAACTTGAAATTTTTAAAGAAAATTTGTAAACTCTGGTTTGTTGGCCATTTAGTTTTGACCAAGCACAGCAGGATGCATTAGATATCAAAGAGCTGTTTAACCTAATACACAAAGCCAGCCTCACATTAAAAATACATGTAGCGCCAGGTAAATCATAGCTAAGTAGAAATCGGAATAACATACCAGGTTTTTTTTCCTAATACATTTTGCAATTTTTATTCTCACACTTGTCAGTTAGCTTTTACGATGTTACGATGATCCAGAGAATAATTAAAAAGACTCCAACATTCTGAAGCCCTTTCTTCCTGACGTCTATTAGTATGAAATTTCAGAATGCACAAATGTAGTAAGTTATTTGAGAGAGGCAGATTGTTCCATTAGAGTCGTCTGCAGGTATATAATTGGGGTTTTATTCAAGTATAATATAAATAAAACATCAAAAATCCTCAGCCATCCGTAACTCGGTCTGTACAGACCTACCGTTAAAACGGAAACACACAATCATTCAGTTACACAACCACACACCATTACCCAATGTCAATGCAACACTTTGAGATGATAACAAGCCATATTTGAATGCTTTGTAACACAAAAACTTTCATCTGTATATTGAATTATTTCTAAGACTGATAAAAGTGTCCTTCTGGAATCTTTCTGCTTCAAACCTTCACAACAAATTTTGTATCTGTAATAAATGTTGTATACAACTTTTCACTCCTGTACCTCCAAACATCTGTGTGTTACACTTTTTTAAATGTTGTTTTTTAGTACATCACATGATAATTACTAGAAAGCTGATTGGTTACTAGCCATCATCTATTTAGTGACAGTTCCTGGTCTCCCTCAATGTGAAAACCAATATACCAGGTATATTATCACAAAAGAGCACACAAAGGCACGTAGGAGTGATGCCCCTTGCACCAGGCGGGGGTAATGATCCTACTTTCACTTGAGTGTTTTTTGTCCTTTGCAATGATGGCAGAATGGTTCAGGAAAAAAAAATCACAATTTATTTTCCATGACACAATAATGTCTCAAAACAAAACGAGCCCCCAAATTTGCTGAATCAGAGCTATAGAAGCTGTTTGCAGGAAGAATTAGGGGAAATTAATGTGAATCAGACTATGGATTTGTCATCAATGACAACCGAGGAGCTGAACAGTGTGATGGCAGAAGTCTTGTCGACTTACACATGGTGTCATCTTCAACTTCATAAATCTTAATTTCATATGTGTTATTTATTTATATATATGTTATGTGATGTACTAAATCTATGATGGCACTTTCCTCCGACTACAACACTACCAGAGAACATAGAATAGAAGTTTCTATAACACCGCCAGTAGCAGATTAGATTGTGGCATTTCAATGACTACATGTAGTTACCTTCATCAGACAAATGACCAGTATGGAGCGTACTAGCACTGACATACATGCACAAAGTATACGAGATGGTACAGAATCGACCAACTTGTTCGGCTATGTACACTATACTCAAATATAGTGTGTCAAAAGAAAAAAAACCTACCACAGAACAGTTGCCTCGAAAAAGGGACAAAAGAATAATATTGCTATCTTATCCATAGCAATACTATTGCCATTTGTATTAATGCCAAATTCTGGGGAAAGGTAAATGAGTTAGATTTTTAAAGGTATCAAGTTCAGGGTCACTGTTTATATTGGATTCTCCTTTCAGGTTACCAAGTTCAAGGTCACAGTTTCTATTGGGTTCACCTTTCAGGTTACCAAGTTCAAGGTCACAGTTTCTATTGGGTTCACCTTTCAGGTTACCAAGTTCAAGGTTACAGTTTCTATTGGGTTCACCTGTCTTAGTATATTTTGTCCATACTTTTCTAAAGGTAAACAAAGAGAATTCTTTTGAACTTTACCATAACTTAGAAGAAAAAGGTCAAGGTCATCATTAAAAATTATAGACAATTTGTCAAACAATGGAGTAACAATGAGTCTGGGCATTCCCATCTCTTTCTAAAGTATCCTTGTTTAATATTAACTGTCCAAGATCTTCAGTGTAATTGTAGTTTACATAATGAATCATCAGTACCAAGCCTGGAGATCATGTTTCAGCAACCTAGAACAAACCATCAGTACCAAGCCTGGAGATCATGTTTCAGCAACCTAGAACAAACCATCAGTACCAAGCCTGGAGATCATGTTTCAGCAGCCTAGAACAAACCATCAGTACCAAGCCTGGAGACCATGTTTCAGCAGCCTAGAACAAACACCTGATTTATAAACACGCCCGAACATTAAGTAAAAACCCAATGCTACCTCATCTTCTCCGAGACAAATTGCTTTTTAGGTTTCTGTAATTATTACAACTCTAGGTAATCACTGAACTTTAAACGCTATTTTGATAATAAAACCGTCAGACTGATAAAAGGTTATCATGAAAAGTTATCATTCATATTTCAAATTTTTACTTTCATTTTATTTCTACTTTATTTTTATTGATATTTTATTTCAAGAGATAAATCAGGTGTAAGAATGCAGAGATTTTCCAGAGTTATACTTGGGTACACATATAACAGGTGACTACCCTAAACCACTCACACCCCTCCAACTCCACAATACTATCTCTAATGGCCAAAAATCTGTTATGGTAATTAGCCTTCTATCACTATCAGAGAGTTAAAAGCATCCAACTGTCCCTCACAAAAGACATCACACAGGTCAGTAAGCAGAAAGTTGACAAGAGAATGAGTGACGTGGTAGGTCTTTATCAATCATAACACAACATTCCACAACTTAGGTATAACTCCACAACATATCTATAGACAGTGCTTCTTTGTCTTCTAACTATTCTGGATCTATCAGAGTTACTTCCCTTTGTTTCATTCTGATTTTACATGTACAGATGAAATACAGAAAATATTACGGTAAATGTAGATATTTTTGTAGAATTAAAAACTTAATAATGTAAAACACAGGTTTATATACTACTCTGTCACTCCCATATCATATAAAACACAGATTGCACAGAGACAAGTGATTGATATGGTATCACATGATTTCAGAAAATTGAAGAAATGATATGAAATACCACAAGGAAAAAGAATAAAAGTATAACATTCAGTAGTAACAGCTATATATAACATGTGAGACTACATTGTTGGGTGGAGGTGTGTTTGAAAGACAGCAGAATTGTCTCCCCTGTAACAAGTGTTGATGAAATAATGACAAAAATTAGTTCTGATAAACTGATCATTTACAGGATTTGATGTACATTAAATGTTGAATTACCGTCTTCCCTTTGTTATAATGTCAATAGACTGCATTTTACACAAGTAAACTTTTTATGTTTGCCATAATGCAACACACCTGATTGAAAGTGAAAACTGAATGCAAAAGTAAAGTTATGATCTGGAAATTAGGGCACCTGTCTCTGAACTGACGGATTCTTTCCCTCCAAATTTGGGAGGTTTACCTGGTAAGCTGTCAGGTACATACTATTGACACTATTAAGAAGAAAGTCTATTCACACAGGTACAACAGGTGATTAATGTGTGAATTGTTGATTCCTATATCTACTGCTGGTAGGGACAATCCACCCCATAACACATATACTCCACACACCTACATATGTGTAAACAAGTGCTAATCGTGTGATCATGAATAATCACAGTATGACAGATGCTTGGGAGGTCCACATACAGACTTTAATGTTTTTCATGTCTAGATCTATTTAGAATAAATCAGATCCTAAGTCAGATTTATATACAGACAGATAGGTATATCTGCAGAATGCATATTTATAGGCTGCAGCCTCAGATAGCATACAATTAACGAACCTATTGGTAAAATAATTCTAATTATTTTGATGAATTCATTTGAAGACCTGTCCAAGTAATTTTTTTTATCAGTTTTAAATGACAGCATCAACAGAGAAAGACCTACCATGATTTTTTTTGTTCACAAAGGTAGTGTATCTTTGTAGATTGGACAGCACTATCTAAAATTAAATCTTGATGGAAATGTGAGTTTGTTTTGAACCAATCTAATAAGTCAGTCAATCAAATCTGGACAACATTGTCAGTTAAGTGAATACTCTGTCCCCTACAGGAATGTGCAGCTAACTATGAAGGTCTGAATACTCTCATATACAATAAGCTGATGTCTCATGTTCTACACCTATCATTTGAGAAAACTGATATTTCATGATATCTGAAATTATTAATCAAACCCTCAGACAAACATGTCAAAAAACCATGAGTAAGAGAGTGTTTGTTTACATATAAGACATTCCAATAATGTTTTAGTTCCTGTATCCTGCAAAAACACAAGATTTTTTTTTAATCAGACTGGATGTCGCTTTACAGCCATTAATTTCAGAAAAAAAACAAGATTTTACCACATATTAAATATTTACCTTGAGCAATGTTATGTTAACAATGTTTACCTGAGATAGTAAAACATAATCAATGTTTACCTGAAATAGTAATACATCATCAATGTTTACCTGAGATGATGTAACATAATCAATGATTACCTGAGATGATGTAATGATGTATTTACAGGTATGATGTAATATGATATTTTCCCCGATGGATGATACGTTCCACCAGCGAATTTGATGACCTTCACATAACAAAATACATTAATAGATTAAATAAATCTCATTAATACAAGTT